TAGGACAGTTGATATAGTCTCCACACTCAGCAGGAAGATTATCAAATGTGGGTTTCCTCCTGTAATGGATTTTTGCGCTTGTTTCAGGTGAGACAAAGTTGATCTTTTCCCTTCATAGTGTCTGGTACAATGCAATGTTTTGGCTTCAGGAGAAAAAACAATGTTGATAACACACTCATGTTTTAGTTGTCGCTCAACAGTGCTGTATGGAGCCAAGGATGTTTCAGTTTTTCAGTTTCTTGAACTATTCTGCCAGCAAGGAGGGCTGAGGGAACACAAGGAACCAGGAGGGGAACAGAACCAAAACAGCTGATCTAACCTGGCCACATAGCTATTCTGTACCATATGAACATCGTGTGGGGGAAAAAAAAACAATACACACACACAAAAAAAAAAACACACATAAAAAATCAGTGGGCAGTTGGCTAAACGACCTGCTGCTGCTTGGGGACTAGCTGGGCATTGGTCAACAGGTGGTGCACAGCTGCTTATGCATCACTGGTTTTGTATATATTGTAACCATTACTATTATCACTTTTTCATCTTCTTTTTCTATCTTAGTAAGTCGTTTTGATCTTCACACATGAGTTTTAGGTTTTTTTTGTTTGCTTTGCTTTTGTTCTTCTTCCTGATTCCTTTTCCCATCCCATTGGAGTGGGGTTTGAGCAAACAACTGTGTGGTGCTTAGCTACCTGCTGGGTTAAACCACAACAACTCACATTAAAACATAAGGTAATTAGGGATATAAATTAACTGCTTTCCTTCCTTTTTTTTTTTCTATTTCCCCCCCTTTCCTCTGCCTTAAGTATTTGAAAGACTTTCAACACGAATTGTCTCAGTAGAGACCCAAAGACTGACATCATATGTTAGGATTTAGTGTTATAACAGTGAGCTAGGGCTTAATTAACCTTCTAGCCCTTTGGGAGACCTGAGACAGAGGATCCAGTTCCTCACAAAACTACTGCTACTTCTCCTTCAGTTATTGAGCTCATTAATCTCTCTGGTACTGTACTTAGGCCTAAAGCTACATCTTATTTTGGTAACTTAAAAGTGCTAAATATGTTACAGAGATAATGAAATTCTTTGTCCTGCCTTGCAGAGAACATCACTTAAATAAACCAGTAAGAGAAAAAGAACTGGGGGGAGAAAAGGGAAATGGAAATTCAGAAGCAGAAAGGGGGGTTAGATATGCAGACTTCCGGTGTTTATTTGACACCTGTGCCACGTGGGTATGCACTTCAAAACACATGGGACAGGACAGAAGGGGACAAAGAAATTTAACTCTTTAATTGCTTACGTTAACCACTGCACAACATATACATACAGAAAACGTTAAGCTAGCTTCTTTCTCTGATACAGTCCTCACCTTTCAAGTCAGACTTCATTCCTTCTCCTGGAGGATGTGATCCCAAAAGCCATAGAAATGACCCAAAACACACCTAAGTAGAAATTAGCCACATAGTATGACTCATCTTACACTGGTGGGACTGCCTGATGGCTGAGTACTGGGCGCATAAGCCTTTGAGACATCAATAAGAGCAAATATTAACAGGACTAACAGTAGCAATTACAGCCATATAAAATTTTTATGAAGACAACTTTGAATTCTGTTTGATGCTACTGCAGAGAGAAGTGAAATCAGTGGAAAGTGAGCTGGCTTGAAAGCCCAGTGTAGATGAACAATGTGAAATCAGGAAGAATAAACATCAGCTATTGCTTCTGATAACAGCTAATGCTTGAAGCACAGTTAGAAAGTTAGTAGCAAAACCATAGCCTGCATTTTCAAGTGAAAAGTGAGTTTGTGTCCCTTGTTTTCAGAAACAGTTCATTTTTTCCAATGTTGTTTTCTTACTGCTAGTAGGTTCATGCACCCAGAGCCCTGTTCCCATAAACATCCATCTAAGAGAGTCAATGGAGCATGCTGCGGCCTCTGTTCACAACACAGCTGCCTATGTGGAGAAACCAGACTGCTTAGTAAGGAGGAAAGGAAAGGCTTGCGCACGTTTCTGTTTCAGCAATCTAAACTTCAGAAGCTGAGATGAACACAGGCTCAGAAACCAGAAGTCTCTTCTTGGTCAGGTAGCACATACGGCTTTTCATTCTCTCATACAGATGCCTCCTAGGTTAATCTATTCCATTACAATGCACCTCACAGTCAATATCCATCTCAGTGGTGACCTACTTGGGTACTGAGCTCACTGCTGTAATAAAATGATAATGCTGATGCTAAGGAGAAGCACTTGCACAAGCAGCAGCTGGCTACAAACTGCCCCAAGTTCAGCTCCACGTACAATTCTGCTATGCTAGCATGATAAGGAAAAAGTTGTAGGCCCAAAAAACTGGCTAGGGCTGTTGTTTTAGCTTAATGGAAACATCTACACTGGGACTACTAAATCCAAAGAGACTGAAATTCTGTGGTGACTAAAACCTTAATCCCACTGAACCACTGACCTTAGCTCTAATCTCTGAGAAAAGGGGACGAGCACTGTACACTAACAGGAGATTTGCTGGAAGAGATTCACACGTATTGAACCCACATTTGCCTGCTTTCATACCTGTGTTGCTTAGGTCTGTGCAGGATGGCCAACGTAATGAATGTACGGAATAAATTCTGTTGGAGCTGACTGGAAGGAATTCATGATTTTTCCACATTTGTAACTTTGTTTTTGTTTCAGAAAACCATGTATTTGCCATACACTTAGTAGTGATACTGTAAACAAATGTATAAATGCTGTCATTTTTAAAATTGCTGAGTTGCAGTGACATGATATACTTTGACTTTCATAGTCCACACACACACACACACACAGAAGTAATAAAGTGTTTACATTCAGCTGCTCATCTAGACATACAGAACAGACATTTTATTTATTGTGCCATATAAATTTTTTAAAGTTTTGGCCTTTTAAAGTATTTTGTATTTGACTGGGCCAAGGAAACAAAAATAAAGTGAAAGAAAAAAGTTTGTGCTAGAAGAAAAATCTAAACAATATGATTTCTGTAAATATTTAAGACACCCAAAGCACCTTAGCACAATGTTACTGTAATAAACAGTTATGAGTAACACAGATATTTTTAGCCCTACCTTAGATTTATTTAGCTTTACACATGTATGGAGTGTTCTTCATTTTTTTTACCCTTTATGGTAAAAAAAAAACTTTATAGTACGTTTTATATCTTAATTACAGAATCACAGAATCACACAGAATCACAGAATCACCCGGGTTGGAAGGGACCCCAAGGATCATGTAGTTCCAATCCCCCTGCCTAGCAGGGCCACCAAACATAGACATTCAGATCAGGTTGCCCAGGACCCCGTCCAACCTGGCCTTAAACATGTCCAAGGACGGGGCATCCACAACCTCCCTGGGCAGCCCGTTCCAGGGCCTAACCACTCTCCTATTACTCCAATTACTCCAATTACTTCTGTTGAAGATAGTCAAGTTAACATTCTCCAAGTTTAGGAAATTACAGGGAGGTTGAAGAAATTGTACACTGCTGGGGTGAACAGTGGCTGCAGTAAAACCAGAATCACAGAATCACAAGGTTGGAAAGGACCTACAAGATCATCTAGTCCAACTGCCCTCCCGTTGCCATTTCTACCATAAGCCAAGCCACTAACTGTATTTCATAGCTCCTCATCCAGACACATCTTGAACACTGCCAGGGATAGCGACTGCACCAGCTTCCTGGGCAGCCATTCCAGCGCCCGACTACTCTCTGAAAAAGATTTTCCTTATTTCTAACCTAAACCTCTTCTGATACAACTTGCAGACATTTCCTCGGGTCCTGTTTGTTGCCTGGGAGAAGAGGCCAAAGCCCTCCTCATCGCAACCTCCCTTCAGGAATTTCAAGAGTGCCAATTTTATGAGTACTTTAATGCAAAACAATCAGATACAAAATAAGTGCAATAGCGTATTATATCTGTGTACTCAAAGACTTACATTATAAATCATTAAGCTTTGTGGGCCATATTTGCTGGTATGTTCTAGCTGCTCTTTGTGATTCTGAAACCAAGATGTACCTGTGTGTAGGCTGGCTTTGCCCCAGCACCTCGCTCGCATCCCTGTGCTCACCAGCCCATGCCACATGCTCTGCTCCCTGCAATCCTCCTGCTGGCCTCACACTGCACAAGCTACCTTTCTTCAGGCCGAATGATAAACCAGCCATCTGTCACCTTACTCACTGCAACCTGTAAAGTCCACTTTCCAGATGGCCTGCAACAGAACTGACCGGCGTGCCTGAGGTCACTGAAAAAACAGTGCAGGTGCATGCTCCCACCCAAGCACCTCTGACCACTGTGGAAATGGTTTAGGCTCTTCAGCGTTATTAAGTATGCGCTTCAGAATCCTATGGTTATTACAGAACCAAGAACGGTTTGGGCTCGAAGGGGCCTTAAAGATCATAGCGTCCTAACCCCTGCCATGGGCAGGGCTGCCCCCTCCCTTCAGCTCAGGCTGCCCAGGGCCCCATCCAACCTGGCCTCGAGCGCCTACAGGGCTGGGGCACCACAGCTTTTCTGGGCAGCTGTGCCAGCGCCTCACATCCCTCTGGGGAAACATTTTCCCCTGACGCCTCTCCTACATCAGGCCATCGTTCTGGCAGACCCTGAGCTCTCATACCAGCGCCCCGCAGCACCCAGTCCCGACCTGGTTCCCCTCAGCGCCCGGCCCGCCCTGCGCAGGCGCACCGCTCTTCGGCCCTCTGCTGCCCGGCCCCGCTCCCCTTTTCCCTCCGCCCGTCAGCAGCCGCGCCCGGCCCGGTCGGCGTCGCCCCTCGCCGGCCGTTCGCGGCGCTCCCCGGAAGCGGTAATGCTCCGCCGGTGATCCAGGAAGCGGATGAGCCCGCACGCCTTCCCCTCCGGAACGGAGCGGCGCGGCGGGGAAGGGGAGCGGGGGCCGCGAGAAGGCCCGGCGGAGGCGCGGGCCGTGGCAGCCCCCCCGGCGGCGGCGGCGGCGTTTCCATGGCGCCGGGCGGGCGGGGGAGCCGGGGCTGAGGACCCCGCCCGCTCATGGACCCCGCCGCGGCGGCGGCCGGCGAGGAGGAGGGCGGGGAGAAGCCGCCGGTGATTTACACCATGGAGAACAAGCCCATCGTCACCTGTGAGTGCTGCCGGGCGGGGAGGGCTAAGGGGCGGCGGCGGCTTGGCGGCGGGGACACCCCGCAGCTTTGTGTGCGGAAAACGGCACCGGGGAGCGGGTCGGTGTCCGCCCTGCCACCCCTCGTCGCGGCCCTGCGTTCTTCGGGTGTGTTATGGGGTGGTGGTAAATAAGGAACGTGGCTTGAAGGGGTTGCAGGCACTCGGGGTGCAAACGTGGTGATGAAACTTACGCCCTGAACTTCTGGTCGGTGTAGTGCTGCTGAGGGCGAAGAGGAAGGCGTGCCTCTGTGGTGAGGAGGGGTCGCTGCTGGTGGGTTCCCGCTGACGTTATAATTTAATCCTTAACTGTTGTGCTTTAGCTCCGTCTCTGAAAGGCAGACGGTGTGTTTAACGAGCCGTGTCCTGTGGTTCCAGTGATGGATTAGTTCCCTCAGGTGTAAAGCACGACGTGTGGACACCAGCCCTGATGGAAAACAGCAGCTCCTGTGGTTCTGCAGGTGTAGAGGGCGGCATGTGGAGTTCACTTAAACACATGAAGCACAGCCGTAGTGCTGCTGATGGATGGGGGTCAGCCACAGAATTCTGTGTGCTTTGAAAGGAGGTTCATCTGTGATATCAGAAACAACAGAATTGGAGTCACAGAATATCCTGAGTTGGAAGGGACCTGGAAGGACCATCAAGTCCAACTCCAGGTTCCACATGATGCCACTCAAAATCCTATTCTGAGAGCACTGTGCAGATGCTCCCCACTGGTGGCCGTGCCCACAGCCCTGTGCATCCCGTTCCCCGCCCACTGCCCTGTGGTGCAGCCCCTTTCCCTGACCCCCAGCTGCCCTCCCCTGACGCAGCTCCATGCTGTTCCCTCGATCCCTGTCGCTGTCACACAGAGCAGAGCTCAGCGCTGCCCCTCCGCTCCCTGTGAGGAGCTGCAGCTGCCATCAGGCCTCCCCTAAGCTCCCCTGCTCTGGGCTGAGCACAGCAAGGGGCCTCAGCCACTCCTCATGTGACTATTTGCACTTTATCAGTAAGGCCATGGTAATGCTTTGTGTGCTTACAGAATAAAAACTGTTCCACGTTTGTGTGCTGTCATTGTACAGAGTCAGCTCTATTGTATTTCCTGACTAATGATTTATGTCTTAGACTGATATTGATATTCAAGTGTAAACTCCTAACTACATAATTACAGAATTGTGTGTGTGTAAATACATATATATAGTTTTCTCCAGACTCTTTTATAACTGTGCTTTTCTTTCTCTTAAACTTTTTAATTGATTTTGGATGTAGCTCCTAAATAGAAGTCAGTGATATCTTTACTGAATATTCAATCCTCACCTACTTCAGACACCTTTGAAATCCATTTCAGGTCTAAAGACAGAAAAATGAACATATGAGAAACACATAAAGGATATCACTGACTGTGCAATCTACTGTAGGGATTCTGCAGGGCTGTTGTGGTCAATATTCAGAGGTCCCTTCCAACTTATGTGGTTCTGTGATCCCCATTGGTGTCACTGTACTACTCAGGCTGAGGTGGAATGTTCTTTAGGTTTGCTGGTTTTGTGTTGTGTCCGGAATTGGAGTGTGTATGAGTATGAGGGAGAGGAGATGGGCTGCATATCAGTCCTTACTGTTCCTGTATCATTGGAGTATGTAAAGCACCTTTCAGTTTGTTGAAGTACGTGCAGCTTTACTTCAGGCTCTCTGGCCTCTTTGTGCAAGGAAACTTTCAAATTTCCAAACGCTGAATTTCATCAGGTTTCAATCAAGCCCAGGTATCCGATTTTAAAAATAATTATTTTATATAGTGAATGTATTTTGTGTTTGCAAAGTGTTTTAGACTCATCACTATACAGTATGATGGCAGCATATCACAAATGAGATACAAGGTAAACATTATGCATCATTTGTGTGCCTTGCTGCTGGACAGCAGGAGCTGTGAGCAACCATGACAGCAGTGTGGTAGTAAACCTTTTCTGATGTGAATTGGAATTGATTGATCTGACAAAACTGAATTCAGAAAATAAAGTAACTGAGCAAAAGCGCTCGGCAATGACGTCTCTGGTGAATGTCGTAAGGGTGATTTGCTATCATTTTCAAACATTTTTTTTTTGTGGTGGGAACACATTTTGTTTTAGCAGCTTTTGTTTCCTTTCTTCTCTGTCCAGAGAAGTGCACTTGGAGATGATGGAACCTCAAATGTGTTCAACAAAAATGACTTTGGTGAGGGAAAGCATTTCTGATCATCCATGAGCAGATGAGGGTTGGTATTTTAGGAAATTAGTTGCTGGATTTGTATTGGTTTGTTGGAAAGTACATTCGGAACTACAATATTAGAAACAATTCAATTACTACAACTTCTCTTCTGTTTTGTTGTCCTGGTTTCAGGCAGTTAAAGCTGTCTGGGATAAGTGTCCTGCCCAGCAGGTGCATGTGAGGGGGAACAGAACTGCAAGGAGATGGAAGGACAGGTGGTGGAGTCTCCTTCTCTGGAGACTGCTCAAGATCTTCCTGGATGCTGTCCCGTGTGGCCTGCTGTAGGGAACCTACTTTAGCAGAGAAGTGGACCTGATGGTCTCCAGAGGTCCCTTCTGACCCCTCTGATTCAGTGATTCTGTGACTAGCTTTTGTCTATGTGAAGATAAGTGAGGCTGTGTCTCAGAACAGAAGCGTTTATTTCCCTTTGCTACAGGATTTAGATTAATCTGTCAAATAAACATTTATATCATGAAATGCTCCTGTTGACTTTCAGAATTTATTTTTGGTAATTGAGAACTGAAGAGAAAAGTTTGGTATGAAACTTGTTTTCACAGCACTGCACATATAGTGATATTTTGCAAACAAGTGTTTTTACCTACGTGAAACATTTGAGCATATTTTCAAAGGAATGCTTCTGTGGAGAAAAGAACTGGTAGAGTTCTGTGAGTTTGTCTCTGTTGTGCAAGTAATCCTTCGCCAAATTGATAGACTCCCAAATGTAGCACTGTAGGTATGTATGCTTTGTCCCACAAAGTGAAAATGGCAGCTCCTATGTGGCTTGTATAATTGGTGCCTATAGCAAATGCAGTTTTTAACTGCGTTTATTCTTCTCATATAACTAACAAATCTGAAGACAGTTTCTGTAGGCAAGCAGACAACTGTATTATGTAAGAATGGGGAAGGTAGTATATGCACAGACAGGTGCTGTTCCCCTGTTGTTTTTTCACCTTTCCTCAAAATGGCAGCATCCCATGTAGTATGAAGTCATTCTTGTCAGTTAGGCCTGAGTGCTGTGATGACTCCTTTCCAGAACAGTTTGAGGCACATTTTTGTACTGTCAGTCTTAAACCCAGGGGGGACTTTCACATATCCAGCTGTGGATATTCTCACTGCAATACATTACATTGCAAGCGCTCACCAGTCAGCCTCCAGCTTTCTCTCGCTGCTGCAGAAATACTATTTTTAGTGTTGTTAATTGTTTTTTATTCAAAGAGGCAGGTTGAGCCTCAGACATCTTGGACTTTGGTATCTTCCTTGCAATGCTGACTTGGCATAATCTTTAAGCAAAGTAGATTGCATTCTTAGCAAACCTGAACAATGCTGCTTGTGTTTCCTGGGTCGCATTTTAAATTTAATTTGAGAAAGTCTTTTGAATAGGAATATGATGTTCATTAAAATACATGCCAACCAAGTATTCTGATTAAAGAACTTGTCCTTATGTAGCTGGTTTACACTTCAGTTACTTTCTGTCATTATCCACATAAAGAGCAAGTTGAAGGCTGTAGACCATCTTGGTGAATGAAGTAGTTTTCTCAGAGCTTTTCTGCCATGCTCTTCTTTTGCAATTATTGTCAAGCAGTTGAATGCTCCTTATCAATACGTAGTGTCTGTTTATATATATAAAACTGTGTGTATAATTTGTTCTTGCGGTCACTGCTTTTAGTAGAAAGAACTTTCTACTTTATATCTCTTTGGGGAGAATAGGTTGCATCACTTTCATCAGAATGTGTTGTGATACAGCAAGAGCAAGATCATCGTAAGCCTGAGAATGGAAAGTGTCTGCAAATACCTACAAGAGCAGCAAAAATAGAAAGGACGAATGAAAGCGAAGAGAGTTTTAGATCTTTTTAGAATAAGAAGGAGTACCTACTGTTAAGGATACTATCGTGGGATTGAAAGAGCTTGATTCAGATGATCTTGTTTGTATCATTAGTAGGTGGAGGTCTTAAAATGTGCCAAACAAAAAGTGGCATGTAGCCTAATTGATTTGGTGCTAGTGAGACCCTTTAAACAACTACATCCTGCAGAAGTGTGTTCTGTTAGCAAACAGGCACTTAAGTTGTTACCGTTGAGGAGGTGATCTGATTTTATTCTGTACTTATGTCTAATTACCTTTATCATGAGAAGAGGCAGCATGTTCTTGTCAGTGTTAGCTCCTATCTTATAAACATGGTGGTGCAGCACTAAGATGGAAAAACTTAGTACCGGAAATTTCTTCTACAGGTTACAAGTGAATTAGGTAGAGTTCTTGTATAGCAATTAAGATGTCTTATATTTTACCTTTCAGCCCTCTTTGGGAAATGAATCCAGGTTGGGGAGCAAGAGGACCTTTTAAAAAATGAAAGCAAAGCAACAAAACCCCCAAACAAACAGCAAATGAATCCTTCCAAGACTTTAGATGGATACGCTTATAACAGGCTAGTGAATTCTGAAGGAAAAAAAAAAATACCACAGCAGGACTTTTAACCAATTTAATAATAAATGAGATCAGAAAGAGTAGTGTTGAACAGTATTTGAGAACAAATGCTCAACAAACCCAGTGAAGTGTAGTCCTGGCACTGTGCTCCTTCAAAAGTTCTTAGAGCCTTTTGTCTCACGTGACAGTTTTTCACTGATGTCAAAGAAAAATATTTGTCTGCTCTAGTCATCTGACGTCAGAGGTGTGCGTGTTTTTGTTTCTATTTTCTTCACACTGCCTGTGTGGTTAGTTAATGGATTGGAATGATTTCATTCAGAAGAAAATATTGATTTGGGAATGTTCAGATAGTTCACTGACAAGCATCTAGAAAGTTTGAGATGTGCTGGGGGGAAAAAAAAAGATTATTGGGGATTTTGGTGAGTTTGGGATAGGTCTCAAAATGTTATTATGATTCTTGTGCATCAGCCAGCTTGTCACAGAGTACCTGTTCCTCTTGGGGATCCTGGACTTGTACCAAAGTACCAGGGAGTAAAACAAGAAGGAATGGAGAAATGAAAAGCTTGGAACCAATAGCATAAAATTTCAGTGAGTAGCTTGAACCTTCATGTGGACTGCTGGAGTTGTATTTTCTGGAGTGCTCAGCCACCTTAGCATTATGCTGTCATCTTGTCACCTAAACAAAGGGTATTTAGGCATTGGTTGTTCCTTTCAGTTCTTAACTAATGTCACCCTTGAATTTTTTCCACAGGTTTAGGTTTATGGTTATGAACTTCTCTATAGGGATATAGCCTATCCCTGAACCACAGATTGATACATTCTTTACTCAGTTAGGCAATGAGGTTTACAGCCAGATTCACAATCAGCATTCATTTTAGTAAGTTTTGCTTCTCTTTTGCTTGATTTGGCCATCTGAATGTTTTGGATGTCAATTTGGTGGATGTCAAGTGGTTGCCAGTCATAGAAAGCATAAGTTAAAATGATTTTTTGGCTCACCGTTTGATCTGGGCTTGTGGTAAAACTATGTAAATCATTTAAATCTATTTTGATTTTTTTATTTATAAATATATTTATTAGATATGCTTAAAGAATATAGTAGAACTAAAGATGCACTCTTCTGGTTGTTTTAAGTGATAAGGGATGTTATTTCCTAGTTATGATCTTAATCGGGATATTTAGGTCCTGTTTAATTCTGTCAATTCTTCAGAAGAAGGAAGTCCTTCTCTAAAAGGCTGTTGAGTTTTAGTTGTAGGATTCCAGAATTATTTTTGTTTCCCTCTTACACACATCCATCTTTCTCTTCTTAAGCTGTGTCTGGTCATCCTTTACGCTTTGGCTCTACTGGTGACAGTCCTTGGAGTGAAAGCTTAGTGTTGAGGCCCTTCCACCGAGATGAGTTTGCTACAATACGATTGCTTAGGCATCCATCCACATTGTATTTGTTTTGTTGTGTGTCTGCCTTTGTTTAAGAAGATAACTTATTTAAAGCCATTCTCAGACTTTATATATTCTTTTTTTATTCCCCCCTTTCCCTTTCTTTGCCCCCAGACTTTGGAATTTGTTGTAAGTTGGAGTTCCAGGGATACTTGTATTCTTGGAAATGTTTTGTTCAAAATTTAGTTAGATGCAAGGCAAAATTCATGTGTGGGTTTTTTTTGTTTGTTCATTTTTTGTCTTATTTTAAAAATATTTTAGGAAGTAGATCATGCATGCAGCAACTACCAATGCTTCAGGGATGCATACAGAACAGTGTGATACTTTTGCAGTATTTCATGTCTTTTGAGTCTTGGGAATCTTACACAACAACTCTCCCAAACAATCCTGATCTTCCAGGAACTTTTATTCTGTTATTTAGGAAGGCGATACTCTTACTGTCTGCTTATATTGATGTTCTCCACTTCCACTCCAGTAGCAGGCAGTTGACCTGCATCTTGCCAGTCTTACGGTCCTTTCTAGGTTGTACTACCAACTTAAAGAATCATAGAATGGTTTAGGTTGGAAGAGACCTTTAAGATCATCTAGTTCCAACCCCCTGCTATAGGCAGGGGCACCAGGTTGCTCAAAGCCCCATCCAGCCTGGCCGTGTTTCCAGGGAGGGGACAACCACAACTCATTTCATGTTTGTCCTGTGTCAGTTTTATGCTAGTGCTGCCTGCTGATAACTTCATATTCAGTGTTTGATGAAATGGCTCAAACTTGCTGATGACAGTAGATATAGGGTCTAGTTGAGCAGAACCTGAAATACTGCAATCCTTTGGGTGTTTGTAATACTTGGTGACTGTGTTTGGTCCGTGTTCAAAAGATAAGGTGATGTAGTTTGCACTGGAGGTCCGTTCTCCTTTTTTCCTCTAATCATTGAGGATAGCCTTGCATGGATCACAGATACGTTCTTATGTGCCCTCAAATCTAGTGCAGGAGAAAAAGCTAATTACAACAAATGAGTTTTAAAACTAATGTAGTCTTTCTTCAGCTGACAATGTGGTGTGGTTGTCTGTAACAGGAGGACACTTAAATACGTATTACCATTTGGTATTTTTTCTGTATTACGGAACTAATCTTTTTACTCAAGATGTTGAATTCTCAGACATTCTGGGGTGCAAATTGGATTTTTAGGTGCAGCACAGGACAAGCGCTTTGCTGTGCTCCAGAGGCAAAATCTGTAGTTCTCCTTTCTTTGTGTCAGGCTCCAAGCTTCCCAGGCTATCTCTTTGATGTGGTCAGCGTGCTGTTGCTAAATCACTGAGCCATATTTCACTTTCTATGGGCAGTAATGAGTTGCAAATCAATAAACAGTTTTTTATGGCCCATCTTAGGAAGATGTTGTAACTTGGTATGAGATAGCTTTAAGCAGTATTGCCAACACTTGTTTCAATATTCATTTCAGAATTTGTTTATACTATTAAATTAAAGATTTCGTTGTGCTGCACTTAATTCAAACAGAGCAGGAGGTAGCGCAGAGTCGAGAGTGAAGTGCTTGTTCAGTAACTTTCTGGAGACTTCAGGCTCAAGCAGTAATCATAGAGTAACTGTTGGTTTATTTTTAAGCAGTTTTAGGAAATGGTATCACTGAACAACAGCTGTCTTGGTCAGATGTCAGAGCACCTGGGTTTGCTTGTTCCGGTGTTTCATCAAACTTGTTTGTTTAGTATCTGATGATTGCATTATGCTAGTGGCTGATGGTCAAAGTGGTATATTAGAGAAAATTAGGAAAAGATGGGTGGACTGTAAAAGATGCCAACCTAATTCCCAACCAGAGGAGGGCCACTAAGATGATCAAAGGGCTGGAGCACCTCCCCTACGAAGATGGGCTGAGGAGGCTGGGCTTGTTCAGCCTGGAGAAGGCAAGACTGCAAGGTGACCTCATTGCAGCCTTCCAGTATTTAAAAGGGTATTAAAAAGAAGAGGAATCAACTTTTTACAAGGGTAGGCAGTGATAGGACAAGGGGAAATGGTTTTAAGTTCAAAGAGGGAAGGTTTAGGTCGAATGTCAGGGGGAGGTTCTTTACAGAGAGAGTGGTGAGGTGCTGGCACAGGCTGCCCAGAGAGGTTGTGGGTGCCCCATCCCTGGAGGTGTTCAAGGCCAGGTTGGATGGGGCCCTGGGCAGCCTGGTCTAGTATTAAATGGGGAGGTTGGTGGCCCTGCATGTGGTCAGGGGGGTTGGAACTTGATGATCCTTGGGATCCCTTCCAACCCATGCCATTCTTTGATTCTATGTTTGTAATTAAAGTTTGGTAAGCTCCTATTAGGAGCAGTTCCTTGTTCTGTGCACAATGGGAGGGAAAAGAGAGGATGTCAGGTTCTTCTCCAGCCTTAGCTCTTCTGTTCCATAGAAAGGCAAGAAGATCCTTTGTTCGGGTTGGGCTGTACAACAGCAGGTGATTATAAAGATTATAAAGACAAGTGGAAAACTGCCAGGAAGCCGACTTGCTGTATGCCTGTTTAACATGGTAATTGGAAAACATAACTCTTCAGCTCCAGAGATCCTGAGAAAGGTGTGGGGGAAGGAAAGTGAGAATGTGGAGCTTTTGGAGGAAGGAAAAAGGATTTAAAAAAAAAATTAATTTGCAGTCTCAGAAAAAAGGGAATGCAGCAATTCAAAGATAAAGCCATAAGGAGCAGAAGAGAAGAGGAGCCACAAAGAAGAGAGCAATAGCTGAGATAACTTCAGGGCAGCATGCACGTGAGAGATAGCATAAATGATATCACAGCTAGTATGGGCCAGCTCATTTTTCCAACATCAGAATGCACACGTTTCATAATAGGTATTAGAACTCTGATCAAATGCTATGAAATTTATTTTTATAGCCTCAGTCCTATTCTCACTGGAATGTGTTTATGTGCCAGAAGTGACATGCATTATTTTCTCTTTAATTGTGATGGACTATTGAGGCATTGTACCTTGTCTAGTATGGTTGATTGCTCAGTCAGGAAGTTATAATAGCATATATATTATGTGCCTTGTTGAGGTGTTCTTTTAGGTTATGTTGGACTCAAGTGTCCAAAGCAAATAAAAATACAACTTTTATATTGAAACAAATTAAAGCGTAGTTTATTAATAAGTTTTTTTTTTTTTTTCTTTTGTAATTTGCACATGGTGATAAATTATTTTATTTCATGTTTAGGTGCTGGAGATCAGAATTTATTTACTTCCCTGTATCCTACGCTTTCTCAGCAGCTTCCAAGAGAACCCATGGAATGGAGGAGGTAAATTTGCATTTGGTTCTGTAGTACATTTCAGTATGTTACTAAACATGGGAAAGTGTGCCACTGTGTCGTGGGAAGCTTTTACCATAAAGTGAGTCAGGCACCTGCCTTAATTAGTCAAGGTAAATGTTCAGAATGCTCTCTTCTGCATCTCAGCTGTGTTGAACCTTACCTGAAGGAAAATAATAGCAATGCTGTGTTTCTTTTTGTTGTTATTGGTGTTTTGGTACGTGCCTTGATGCACTTCGAGTGTTTTGAAAGGGGCATGCTGCTCTTTTTCATGAATATATAGGTAGAATTTTAGATGAAACTTCATTCAGAATCCTTGGTATGGCCCACTGTGTTCTGGTGGAGGAAAATATTTTGGGGATTTTCTTATTTAGGATTTTCTACTTTTAGAGGTCTTGGAGGTATAGAAAATCTTTTAATGAAGGCTGAAAAGCTTCTAGCTGCTGTTCTTGTAAAAAGGAGCATCTATAATAACACTTCGAGTGATACCATATTTTAGCTGACTTTCTGTAAACTACTGTAAGCATAGTTTTTGAGTTTCCAGTACCCAGAGCTTTTCAGTTGATTCAACAAAATCCATTTTCATTTTTGGGTTCTGCTACATATGTCTCAGTTGCTAATTTCAGTTTTTGAATTTTTCAGGTCTTATGGCCGTGCTCCAAAGATGATTCATCTAGAATCAAACTTTGTTCAGTTTAAAGAGGAGCTACTACCCAAAGAGGGGAATAAGGCTCTTCTGACTTTTCCCTTTCTTCATATTTACTGGACAGAATGTTGTGTAAGTATTAGGAAAACAAAATTAAATTGTTTTGACTTTCAGCTTGCCCTGTCTGTCATTTTTTTTTTTTTCAAACTTGCTTTTTGTGTTTGCTTGAACAATTAAGTTTGCAATGTATAAGTGTACATACCTAGTACATTAGAAACTTGTCATCTTAAGTACATTTTTGTTATAAGTGATGTTTGTAATGTTGCTTGACGCTAAGAGGAAGGCTTTTGAATAGCCTTTTTTTAACATTTTGTCATTAAAAAAAACCCCAAAGTCTAACAGCATTATTGCAGTAGCGCAGGACATTTGCTACATGATACAGAAACGTGGCCAGATTATTTTGGTTATGATCTGTTCATAAGCTTAAATCTTAAAAAGAATGTGTATTTTGCTTTATCTTCTGCATATGTCAGCTGTTAGTATGCGTCAGTGGTCTAAACTGGTGTATTGGGTTCAGATGGAAAAGTTTGGTAGCAGAGGGCTGCAGGGGTGACCTGTGTGCAGAGAGCCCAGCAGCTGCCCCGTGTCAGAGCAAAGCTAGCTCAAGCTGCTCTGAAAGGGACTGTGGGCCGAGCTGAGCAGTGAGCTTCACTGGGTGTGCTCTGGGAGAGTAGTTTTAAGGAAGGGAAGAACTGGTGCCCAACATCAGCTGAGAGTGAGGAATGAGAATTGTGAGAGCAGTAGCCCAACCCTGCAGGCACAAAGGTCAGTACAGAATGAAGGCAGGAGGTGCTCCAGGTACAAAGCAGAAGCACCCTGCAGCCCAGGAGAGGCCAATGAATGAGCAGGCTGTGAAACCACCACAAGTGGATAATATTTGGAAGGTCTTAATTCTGTTTATCTGAAGTTCACTGCTTAGAGATTGCATAACTAATTCATAATAGAGACCAGTTGAATGACAGAGGTAACTTCTGATTTGTGACCAAAGGCATTCCTAACAGGTTTAAGAGTTACCTGAATTAATCTGTTTGGAAACAACCGAAAAAATGCCAAATGACCTTCAGTGGTTTTGGTTTTTTTTGTTTAAAACAAACAAAAAGCTCGCCTTTCTTCCCCTCCAGCTTGTAAACACTTTAAGATTTGAGCTGTGTTAGAAGGCACAAATGCCACGCTTCTGTTGTTATGCAAGAATGTAACAGTTTAGCTTTTTGGTGTCAAACACACTCATGTTGTAAAATTTAAGAATATAATCTAAAGGACTGTACCAAAAACTAATCGGTACAATGATTAGTACAAAGTGGCCAAGAATTATGGCAAATACTCTTAATCAATTACTAGAAATAAATGAAATTCGAAGACCAAAAACCTTACCATACTTTGGCTTATTTGATTTCTTGCAATAAGTAAATTTATTGTCACTAATTCTGTTTGATAAGCGTTTATGGCTTTCTTCTGTTGGAACAAAAGTACAGAAGTTGCCTTTTGAAATTGTTTAGAATGACTGTTTGCTTTGGTGATTCACCACTTCTCGCCTCAGGACACCGAAGTGTACAAAACCACAGTCAAGGATGACATCACCAAGTGGCAGAACGTTCTCAAGGCTCACAACTCAGTGGACTGGCTAATTGTGGTGGTTGAGAGTGATGCCAAGAAAAAGAACAAAACAAATATCCTTCCCCGAACTTCTATAGTAGATAAAATAAGAAATGACTTCTGTAACAAGCAAAGTGACAGGTAAGGAATTCTTTACTTGCAAACTTTGAAATCTTTGAGTAGTGTGGTGCTGACTTAAAACCTTAACTTTTCTATGTAACAGATTCCTTGCTTTTTATAGGATCTTCTCTGATGTCCAGATGCAAAGCTGTAAAAGGAGGAGTTTATTTTAATTCCTCGTGGATTAGCAGTGTCGTGAAATGTTTCAAGAATATTTCAAGTACTCTGAAGTTTCATAACTTATCTTGATTGAAGGGGAAAATTCCATGCTCTTCTCAGTTTTCAGAACTTAGGTGCAGAAATGTTATCAGAACTACAGGTAGTGGTAGTGTGGTGTGAGGGGAAAATGAAGCTGACATCCTTAACTTTTTTACCATTGAACTCTACTTTTCACTTAATAGATCACCTTTCCAGTATGAAATAATTGATGTAAAAACAAGTGAAGAAACTGAAGTTATTCTAAGGAAAAAAAAATGATGAAAAAAGTTATGAAACTGTTTTTGCCTTCATTAAAGACAACAAAATATGCAAATTTTATTTGAAACAAATAAATATCTTCTTCCTTATTCTGCATCATTGCATGGAATATATAATATTTAATCTCAAGAGTTAACTGTAAATAGGAGATTTTCCCCCTAGGAATGGGTGATAGTTCAAAGGGATAGATGACAGTACTCATTGTACCTTAGTGTGATCTGCCAGTGACCAGCTGACAGGTCAGCATGTTGTGACATCGACAGCAATTTATTTATACCCACTTCAGGACTGCAAATAGTCTGGACGAGTCTGAATTATGTTGCTTTTATTATCTCATGGCATACTGATTAAAACAAGCAGCTAGAAAACATTACTTTTCTAATAAGAAATGATGTTCGGTTTAAATAAGAGGTTTTTCTGCCTTTGAAGATGTCGTTTTTGATTCTTGTTAGATTATGGTATAAAAACTGAAGAAATAAATGCTCTCAGTAAGACTTATTTATTTGTGAATTACTGTGATCTGCTAAGTACTTATTAAAAAAGAACAACAAAAAACTTAATAAACTATAGTAAACTATATATATTTTATATATATATATATATACTATAGTACTTAGTAAACTATATAACAGCCTTAAACATACATGGCAAAGTTTAAGAAACCAAAAAAACCAACAACAAAAAACAAAACACTCTGCCCCCTTTCCTTCTCTCCCCCCAAACTTTTTCTTTGAGTGTTGAATTAAAAGGTAATTTTTATTCACTGTGAACCTGTTGGATTGCACTGTATTACAGCTGTGCAGTTATATGTAAATTTTTTATTTTGTATCTCCTCCAAAATAACTTACCAATTTTTTTGCAGATGTGTGGTACTTTCAGACCCTTTGAAAGACTCTTCCCGTTCTCAGGAATCTTGGAATGCCTTCCTGACCAAACTCAGGACATTGCTTCTCATGTCTTTTACCAAGAACTTAGGCAAGTTTGAAGATGACATGAGAACTTTGAGAGAAAAAAGGACTGAACCAGGATGGAGTTTCTGCGAGTATTTCATGGTCCAGGTAAGAGTGTTTCTCCTTCTTCTTTCTTCTTTTTTTTTTTTTTTTTTTTTTTTAAATACAAAAAAGTGCTTTGAGTTTTAGTTCTAATAATGGCTTGTCTTTCTGGTATTTTTAATGCTCTGTTTGTTCTTTGAGGTAGAAGGGGATAGGGGAGATGAATACTGATATAAATGCAACATTTTCATATTTGCAAGCCTAAAGAGGTTGTGCATGCAAGCCTATTGCAAAAAAAGTGTTACAAATCTCAACTGTAACAAACACAAAATCATCTAGAAAATATTGTGAATTTTGGATAAATGTCCTATTAATAGGGTTGTACAAAGACATTCAAACTTGTAATTGGCATTTAATGCAAATATCACTATGCTTTCTTTGCTTAGTTTATTAACAGTACGTGTGGAGAAGTGTCTGTTTTGAGTAAGGCCAAATAGAGAATGCCCTCGAATTCTGCTTTTTTGTATTTCTAACTATGTCTGCTTTAGGTGATACAGAGAAAAGAAAGAAAATCTTATTCAATGGAACTAAAGTTTTGATTCTTTTTGGTTTTCCAGTCACTGTATAATTCCCTTTCTTACACTAATTTCACATCATCCTCACGTCTCCTCTGAGTTTGTCTGCTGCCACTTTGTTGTGATATGTCTACTTCTCTGACTCTTTGTACCTTTAATTTTTTGTCTCTTGGCGTACTGCAGAACCTTTATTGATACTGCAATGGTGTTTTCATGGTGTAAACACAAGAGACATTATTACTGTTATGGGAGATGACTATTTAGTAGGTTTTCTTTGAAACTTGAACTTTCAGTAGATGTACGAACAGTCGCACAGATGCACAGCAGGATGAACTGGCATAGCTGTATGTTTGTAGTTTTATTGTTAGCTTCACTGTGTTAGGAGGAAAGGGTGCATCCACTACAGTGGTAGATTTTTCTTTTGTATACGATTACCAGAAGAAGAAACATGTTGGAAGTAGAACTTCCTGGAGCTCTGTGTAAAGGTGGAGGCAGCCTATAATACCAAACATGACTAGTATCTGTAATGTGCTCACTGTCTTGCTTGTGTGTCAAAAGGAAGAACTGGCCTTCGTCTTTGAGATGCTGCAGCAGTTTGAAGATGCACTAGTGCAGTATGATGAGCTGGATGCCTTGTTTTCTCAGTACGTTGTGAACTTTGGGGCTGGTGGTAAGTGTCTTAAAATGGTAAAAATTATCCTTATTCATTTATGTACTGTGCTTCACTAAAAGACAATGATGCCTTGGGTACCATGTGTGTATGTGGGAGAAAGAGATGGTACATCGCAGTGGAGGTCTGCTAGGCAGCTGTGCCCTTGTCACAATCTCATTGTATCTTCTTAGTTCTTGCTTTTAAGCCTCAGAAGTGAAAAACAGTTTTTAATGAAAATCTGCATTTTGCTTTTATTCAGCAATTGTTATAAAAAGGGCTCTGAGCCTCTGTAATTACCTAAGTTTCAGTCTGCCTGGGATGCAGTTGCTGTTCTCACTGCTCACTTCTAAGTTAGTTAATAAAGAGCGTCCAGAACAAATGCGTCCAGTTTTGTTTCAAATTATGAGATATTTCCGTTCACTTTTGTGGTGATTACCAAATATGTGCTTAATCTGCTCTGCAGAAGATGAAACTTTCTCTTCACAAAGAATTTACTGTACAAGAAATACCAAATAACTTGAAACTGTTTTAATGAGTGGAAGTATGTGGTGTTACGTAAGATCTTTCATTAAGTGCATGTTATGATCATAGTGAAAATACAGTACAGTGAAATATATTTATCCTGACTGAACTTGATGCTAAACCTGAAGGTGAGAATATATATCTGTGGTGGCTGAGTAAGAAATACATATGTGGATAAAACTGGATAGTCTGGAATTTCATTTAGGACGAATTACTGAGAAATACATTGCAAACTCAGTGGCATTATACTGATAATAAGAAGTATTCAATTAAGACCAAATGGACGTGGCATTTGAATGTTCTAAATTGTTGTTGACATAGTTATGGAATTTCTGTTGTTTAGGTTTTAAAGTTAAGACGTTAAGATTATCAAGTAAGTTAAGAAGGAATAAGCAAGTTTGCAACCTAGAGGTGGAGGGCAGAAGAAGAGACATTAAATAACAGTGATTGATTCTTGGATATTAACTTTATTTGTTTAGATGGTGCAAACTGGCTGACATTTTTTTGCCAGCCAGTGAGGAGCTGGAATGGTTTAATTCTCCGAAAACCAATAGACATGGAGAAGAGAGAGCTAATTCAGAATCAAGAAGCTACTCTACTGGACTTGCGTAGTTACTTATTTTCTCGCCAGTGCACGTTGTTAATCTTCCTGCAGAGGCCGTGGGAGGTTTCCCAGCGAGCGTTGGAGCTTCTTCACAACTGTGTGCAAGAACTCAAGCTATTAGAAGTGAGTTTGCATAATATATTGCAAATGATAATGCAAATGATTTTATCCAATAGTGATCTAACAAGAATTTTGAAGCCCAGTTATTGACCTCCGGAATACAGTTAAGTACAGTCTGTGTAGTATTAACACGATGCAGTAATACTCGATTGTAACACTGCTAGAATTCAGTATTTCATTATGAAATGGTCTTTGGAAAGAAATTGGAGACATCACAGCTGAAAAACCTTGTTTAGGTGACTTTCTCGGTGAAGATTAGAATATTTCAAGTTGTTAAACTGGTGGGTAATTTCTCTTATTTTATGAATTGACTACTGAGCTCTTGAGCTACCATTCCAACAGACTGAAATCTTTGAACAGTGTTGTGTTGAAGAAAATAAGATGGGGTGGTTAATGTGCTGAGATGCAGCCTAATTGTTTGCAACAAAGTACTGTTCTGAACTTTAAACACTGATCTGCAGTAGGACTTCTTACTGCTGTGCAAGTAGATGTTATTTTGATCACGTTTTGTGGTTCTTGTTTTATAATTCCTTCTGGTGCCCAGTAATGCTCTTTTATGTTTTGCGTGTCCCTGTGGCTCTCATCTAATGACAGAAGGAGCAGACAAACGTGATTTCACTCAGAGCTTTTTGTCATGCTGCCTGCCTCAAAGTTACACCCAGTAGTTTGCACTAGTGTTTTTAATCCTCTTAAGGGACTGTATCAAGGATATTGTACACCAGTCATACTCTTGTCTATCACCATAGGTATTTTTAATTGACATATATAATCAAGACTAGTATAGTGTGCATTAGGAGACTTGTAGACTTCACTTTGTGACTTGTGCACCAATTTAATCCCCTGAGTATCTGGTTCTCTGCAAATTTTGTCTGTGCTTTTATAACAGTAACTGCTAAGTTTTGCCTGCCTGGCACTGGTTAGTGAAGTTCCGTAAGGTGCTGCATTTAAGAACAGAAAGTCTGCTTCAGATGTGTTGCCTTTTAAAATGGCGCCTTCATGTATTTAAAACTTACTTAAAATTCCCATGTGAAGCATGTTTTGCTTGTGTGTTCTGTGACGTGGTTTGTTGTTGTTAGTTTACTTTATCTTTCCAAAATAAATACAACCAGCCTTCTAAATCTCTGAAGGTACTTCCTGCAATTCCCCTCTTCCTTCCACTGCCCAAGTCTGCCACTCTAGTGTCTGGGTTTCTTCTCTGCACCTTATTTGTGATGTTTCTGCCTTAATATGTGGAGATCCAAACTGAATGAAGATATTGAGGCTTTGAGACAGGAGTGTGTATTTGTGAATGTAGTGCAGCTATCCCTGTTGTCATGCCTCTTATTATTACAGCCATACCATGGCTTGATGCCAGTGAACACACAGGTGAAATCGCAGCTAGTCTGTTTTTATGGTCTTTCACTTCCAGGAGATTCTTTCAGAATTCAGTTTATTTTTTTCTAATGTGTTGTGCTCCTATGTTGAACTTTCATGTCACATTAGTCAATTATCTAGTTTGTTTAAGTCTCAAGATCCATAATAGCCTTTTTTGAAAGTAATGTTTTTGCATTGGTTAATAGTAAGATTTTGAGATACTACTACTGTGACTTTTATTCCAGTTGTGCTAATCTTTATCTTGATTGTTCTGTTACCAAACTCCTCTCTCATTCCCCATTGCGTTATGATGATAATTCCTTCCTGGTTTCGGTTTTTGTTTCTGGGTTGGGTGGTTGTTTTTTTTTGTTTTTTTTTTTTTAATTAGTTGTCCATGACAAATATCACAGAATCACAGAATATCATTTGATTAACAAACTTACTGTGGTGAAGGAAATGTAGATTCACTTTTTTTTTTTTTTTTCTTCAGATTTTTAGTCTACTTCTTAGTGTGCTTTTAGCTTTAGTTAGGTCTGATGTCTCCTTACAGAAGTAGTGGCATATCTACAGAACTTTTCTCCTAGCTCTGTTCTCCTTAGACTTGAATTTTTAAAAAGTTGGAAACTTCTAAGTACTAGTACCTGTTAGGCTTCTTTTGCTTTTCTTTCATTCTGATGACTACATCAAATCTAATTCACATAACCACTATGAATTAATAATGTTGTTAGTCATTATGGCTTTGGGATTTGGTTTTATGTGTGTTATTTAGTGAATATATATATATATATACAGTGAAGAGCTGGCCTCTTCTGTGTGTTTTATGAGTTAGTTCTTCCAAGAGGTTTTGTTATATGCTATCAAGGAAAGTAATCTTCTGAAGTATTGTGCCTTCTGACTAATGTTTGTTTCCCAGTTAATTTTTTTCTGTTTATCTTCAGGTCTGTGTTCCTCCCGGAGCTTTGGATTGTTGGGTATTTTTGAGTTGTTTGGAGGTCTTACAAAGAATAGAAGGCTGCTGTGATAGGGCTCAAATAGATGCAAATGTTTCCCACACGGTTGGTTTATGGAGCTATGCTACTGAGAAGGTGAGTAAACGAAGTGTTGCTCTTGTGGCATTACAATTTTGAAGTAGGCCATTTCTTTCTATGGAGCAGACTTCTTATGTTTTCTTGTGAAACTTGTGACATATCATTCTGTCTGTTCTGAGTGAGACATGCAGGTTTGTTATCTAGTTGCTCCACGGGTGGTTGAGACCTGGGGATTACTAGAATTATGTTCACTTCTTTGGAGAAGGGATGGAAATGAGGAAACACTTCATGTCATAAAACTGTCTGTAACACTAGCTCCTCCACCAACCTTTCCAATCCTCCCCTGCCAATAGTTTGACAGTGATTGGCTAATTAAACTCCAAAATAAACTCATCGTTTTTGACTAAGAGAAGGAACGTTTATTTCAATTATAGCAGATGCTGACCAGATTTAGATGCCTTTAATATTCTTAATAGAGATTACACCAATCTGTTTCCATAGTTTTACTTTATTTCCTACAGCATGTTAGTATGCTAATAATATACCTTAATCTTTACTGAAGGTGTTATCCTTGGAGGCTTGTGCAAAAGGCAGATGCTAACTTGGAACTTTTCAGTTGAGAAGCCCTTGTAATAAATGGGGAGGAAGTCTGAAAGGTATAAAGTGGCCTTTTCAGTATGGTTAAGCCCCTTTCCTAATTACATTAATGCCTTCTCAAGTTCCACTTTTTCCATTTCTCTGTTAGAGTTAGTGTCTAAAGCTGCTATAGTTTTTCAGTGTTGAAGAACAATTTTGAAAGCTGACAAGAAACTTCAGAAGCTAAGGAAATACCAAACTGTGATCTTGGTCAGTGTTCTCAAAGATCATCGCAAGCTTGTCCTCTTCCTTCTGTAGCCTGTAGAATATTTTCCATTTCTTGTGATCGTAGTTTGTGTATATTTCAGTAAAGCAAGAATCTTCTGCTGATTGTAGGTCATCCTTGTCTGAAGTATTACAAAAGCAGAGAAAGACAATTTCACTTTTGAAGACTTAGTGTTTAAAAAAAGAAATTGGAAGGGAAGTTCAGAATAAAGAAAACAATAATTTAAACTGCTGCTGGTTGCATCAGATTTCATGTGCTGCTTATGTATTTCTGAAGAAGTTCTTTACCTGTTTTGGAAATGTTCATGCCATTTGTAGTTCTTCTAACCCAAAGAGTAAAAAGGGAAAACGACAGGATAATGAGTAGGAGTAAGGTGAAATGGAATGAATGAAATCTACCAACTAGTGAGAAATGTGGAATTTAATGGGTTTTTTTGGTGGATTTTTTTTTCCTTTTGTTCGCCACCCACATTTTATATGGTTTAGAGCAATCTAACAAACTGAGACCGTATTTTCTTGGAGGGGAGGAGTTACCCTTGGCAGTTGAGTTAGTTATGCTAAATGAGATACCATATGGCCAACAGTAAACTTGAAGGCAGGATCCTCTACTGACGTCTGGATATCAAGCATACCAGCTGCTGTCTGGCAGGAATTTTAGTAGTAGTTGTGTGATGCTGTTTTAACACTGATTAGTGATGCTAATAATGTAGAAGAACATCTAATCATTGTGTGCATTTGTGTCGTTTTCAAACTTCTGTGCTGAAATGCAGATGCAGATAGAAATTATCTTTTGGCAGTAACTGCAAAACATCCTTAGCTTTTTTCCCTGTTCATAGGGAAAAACAGAAGGATGCATGCAGGGATTTGTGTGTATGCATGTTGAGTCTTTAACTTGCATTATATGTGATTTAGTTCATCTTCTTAATAAAATGAGCTTCTACAGGAAGTAAGAATCACGAAATTACATTTTGAAAGGTTCTCTATTCTCTTCCCACAAAGCAACTTCAATATAGATTTATAAGCAGTGTAACATGGCAGCAGTATTTTCCATAGAAATATCTTGTGGCTTTAGAACTGTGCGATAAAATAAAAGATTTGTTATTGGTTTTGTAGCCTGTTGAAAACAAGCATCTCTTTTTTCTTTTTCTTACAGTTAAAGTCTCTGGGTTACCTGTGTGGGCTGGTGTCAGAGAACGGACCCAATTCAGAAGACCTTAACAGAACTGTTGATCTGTTAGCAGGGTTGGGAGCAGAACGTCCTGAAACAGGTATTACCAGGAATGTACACATGCTTTGTAATAACTGACTTCATCTTAAATACATGGCATACTAATACAACAATAATTTCCAGATATCCATATGTACATATAATTATTGGTACTAGTATTGTACCTTAAGAGGATTTTAATTTAGTCTCTCTAGTACTTGAAACGATCAGTGCATCTCTTCGCTTTCGTAAGTATAAGGTTTTTCCATTAAAAGCCCATTTATCAGCATTTAACTAAATATTCTTAAACAGTTTTGGATGAAATTTTTAATACTTTCAGATAAGTACTGAAAATAAAATTCATTGAAAATGAAATGGAAGCTCTCTGATGTCATTCAAAAAGATAACCTGTAAGAGGAGCTACAGAATGATATTATTTGATTGACTGAGCAGTCACATTTATTTACTTGGTTGTGAATTTCTTATTATTCACAAAGCTATTTCTGAAGAGAAGAAACTTTCAGATTTTAAAAGTGCAAGAACAATGAGTATTTAAGTATTTCTGCCAGACTGACAACTTACTTGCTCCTGCAGTTACGATGATATGATTCTCAGTTCAGACTGTAGTACGTGTAGTACCTGTTGTGTTTATTGAAAATGGGGGCTTTCTTCCTTCTGGAATATTGGCACATATTTAGTCTGGCAGGAACTTTTAAAATGAGCAAGTTACCTCAAGAAAAAGAATTGGTAGCCATTTTCCTTTGAAGTATCTTGCAAGGTGTAAAAACTTTTTAAAAATTACCGTATACTTCTGACATACTGTTTCATAAATCTAACAGAAAAAAGTTGTGAGAATATTGCTGGTGGGAAAATACAGTAGTATTTAAGTACAATTGTGTGTGTTGCTAGGTTGAACAAATGTCTTGAAGTGTTGTATGGATAAGTTAACATACTTAACTATATTGCTGCTTGTCCTTATCCTTCTCTGAATATTTCTTAGGTATGGGTGCATGCACACAGTCACATTTGTTAAACAGCCTTTCTTGATTTTACTTTAGAGTATGGGCAAGAAATGCATGATCTATTTTAAGTGTTGGAGGGGATGTATTAAAATAGGAATTTGTATTTGTGAGTGACGTTTCCTATCCTTTCTTCTACAGCCAATGCATCACAGAGCCCTTACAAGAAACTTAAAGAGGCCTTATCATCTGTAGAAGCTTTTGAAAAGCACTACTTAGTAAGTATAGTCTTCTGCTATTTATCTTAGTTTTAAATTGTTTATATTACGTTATAGATTGAACAGTGTCAAAATTTTCACACCTGAAAAGATGACGTTAGGAACTTCCATCTGTATTTCTATCTTTTGGTATCAAAATTCATTGCTCTCATACTGAACACGCCAAGGCTGATTTGTTTTACAGCCGGAGGCTCTGTATTTGTCCTGGGTCTCAAGGGTGGAGATGAATTTTAATACTTATAGTTACAGTGCTGAAGGTTATCTGTAAGTAAATATACTTAAATATTCAGAGAGCCTATGTCATGGCTATTTATTCTGCTGTCTAAATTTGAGTTTTCTGTGGAAGACTAATGTTATGTGAATGCAGCTTTCTTTCAAATGGTTTAGACTTGCGTCTTGCAATGCTTATTTCATGAATTAAGTTAGATTGTGTAATCTCTTATATGAAGTGTGGGATATGTGAACATTACAGCTGGAGCTGGCAGAGTATGAAACATTACTATAAGTTTACTTCCTGGCAGCTCCCTTATTGAGGAGCTGTTGTAGTAATATTGTGGTTATATTTTACAAGAAATGGTTAAATAAAACCCAAAACACCTGATTGTCACAAAAATGGTTGGTTCTATTCTTGCTTGTTTTCCTTAAATTATTTTCCTCTGATATTTCTTATAGTAACATGCTGCTGTTAAAGTTTTCTGGGGAAAAATGAGATGAAAATTGAGCACTTTTTTAAAATGTGAAAACTAAGTGGCTTCTTGTTTTTACAAAATTGTTGTTAAAGAAAGTCTCAAAAGATATATGTTATGAAGATAGCAGATTTCACTTCCATGCTTTGTTTCTTATGAGAAGAGTTGGATAACAGGCCAGAACTAAGATTTTTCAGAACTTTATGTTCAGTTCTACGTTGGACCCTGGAATCTCCACGAGACTGAGCAGTGCCTTCTTAAACTTAAGAAACTTAAGTGGGTACTGCAGAGGTTGCCTATGAAGGAATTGCTTATGCTGTTTGTATTGCTGACTGGTTTTATTCTGAAATTCAGATAGAAAACAATATCTTATATTATATGTAGTTGTTGGATAAATATTTACTGTATATACGTTATTGTTCTATCCACTGTATTCAGTGAAGAAGTACACAGAATTAGTTAAAAATTCTAAACACAACTAAGATAATTTGCTTACATTTAATCTTTTAATGAGTGTGGAAAGTGAAATGCAGCTTTTTGGAAATATTGAAAGAAAGAAATCGAGCATTTTTTACCATAAAAGGCTTCTTTATTATTTCTTTTATTTATAGTTCAGTGGCTGGTCTTATGTGACAACTTCAGAATCTTTTGTTAGACTGTCAGATCTTCTACAAACATTTTGGCTAGTACCTTAATTTTTGGGGAAGATATCTTTTTGTTTGTATGTGTTGCTGGTGTCCCAGATGTCTCTTTTTATAATGATTGGCTAACAAGTGAACCAGTCTAGTTTATTGTTGAGTACTGCTTGGAGTTGTTTAATGAGAGAGGGAGAATGCACAGGTGATTTTCCCCTTGGCTCTGTTTAAGAAACATCAAGAAGTGGCTAAGAAGACCTTTGGAATATTGTTTTAGGTCACTTTCCTGCCTCACAGGAATAGATGCTTTCTGACAGATACTCCACAAACAAAATTAGGCATTTGAAAGTTTTTAAACAGTCTCTTTTGAAGAATAAAGTGGTACTTAATATGCTAACTGAAAGTCAATGAGCTGCTGAGGAAATGGCTGGTGGTTTGTAAATGTGATTTGTAAATATGGTATGAAATGTCTTTATGGCCAGATATGGTTAGATGTTTGAGAAATAAGTTTGACTGAATACAGTGTGTAGTAGTGACAGATCTTTCTTACTAAATATGTAATTATTACAGGCTTAGGGCAAGTTAAGAATAGTGACCTGTAGACAGTGGGAATTAAGCTTAAAAATGAGGAATTTTAAATCAAGATTGCATAGCTTCAAGCAATTGCTTCAAAGCACAGTTTGGAAAATAATTCTTCCAACTGCATCTTCATATTCTGCATGTAATTGTATGCTTACATACTGCTTTTACTTAAAAAATGAAACTTTCATGTATTTGATGGTATTATGTGCAGCCTAAGTGAAAGAGTTGGGCGCTCTATGCTGTTATTTTTAAGTAGCAGTAGGATCTTCGGGGCAAGCTCTAGTATTCTGAGAAATACATTACACCAACGTGTATCATGCAATGTCACATTATATTATCTTGTAATGATGGCATAAAGGATATACTTGCTGAGAAATAAATGCTTTCAAAGAAAGCAGAAGGATTCAAGTGTGGAGAAGTACTTACAACTGTGTCTAAATGTTAGTTTTGTGATTTTTGAATTCTCATTTTTGGTAAGGCTTTTCTTTTGTATTTCACAATAGAGTTATGTTGTAGACTGCTCCAAAGTTTGTCCTGAAGGGAAGAGGAAATCTAACAAGTGACTTATTCTGTTAATTTTGTCTTAATAGCTTAGTTACTGATAATGAGTTTGTGAGAAATACTAGGTAGCACTACTTAGTGCTACTAGAAATAGATAGTTTATATTAACTCTTTTCTTTCAAACAGGATCTGTCCCATGCCACCATTGAAATGTACACAAATATTGGGAGAATTCGCTCAGCTAAGCTTGTCGGAAAGGATTTGGCAGAGTTTTACATGTAAGCATTAAATGTGTTAAATGCATTAACTTTGAAAAGCTCCAATGTAATGCTTGAGGAAACCCATATTTCAAAAGGAGTTTTTGAAAATATTTTTAATTATAAACATATGCTAAGTTTCTGGCTGTATTTTGGGGGGAGGGAGACACAAGACAGAAATTGTGGATGCCCCATCCCTGGAGGCATTCAAGGCCAAGGCAGGCTCTGGGCAGCCTGCTCTAGGGGTTGGCGACCCTGCACGTATCAGGGCAGTTGAAACCAAATGATCAGTATCGTCCTTTTCAACCAAGGCCATTCTGTAATTCTATGAAATAGTGGAGAGCTGAGAACTGGCAGTCTTTTTGTACTGAACCCTAGTTCTTCCTTCATTATTTATTACTGCTACTTTTAACTATCTTGTGTTCTTTACTTTCATCTTTTCTTCCATGAAGGAGGAAAGGGCCAGGCAGGAGATGTAACCTTGCGTTTGCTGTAACTTGCTGTCTTAACGTGGATTCTGATATGTTTTTAAGTTAATATTTTCTTAACTTACACACACTTACGTGCATGTATACTAAAGAGTCAGCAAATACATAATTTAGAAATAAATCAGTTTTGTATTTGTATACAAAATTTTTATTTCCACCTGTGGAAAACTTGATCTTATTCCTGTGTTTGTTCCTGTTATTAAATTCTGCTAAATGATCCTCCTGCATTGGCCTTCTGGTTTTATTTTAAAGAATTTGGGAATTCCAAGTGGTTGGTGGTTTTTATTTCCTTTCTGGGGGGTGCTCTTATTTCTGAGACTGCTTCCTGTCTACCTCCACTAAATGAATCTGAACTTCTTGTTGCAAGATTCTCCTAAATTAATGTAAATTTTCACCTGAGGGAATAACATCAGGTTAAAAGACTGCCATGAAACTGTAGTGATAAAAATGATAACTAAAATACTAAATTGTTTTTCTGCACCAAAGTTGTTAAGGTAGCATGTTTTTAACTGTCAGAAGTCTGAGATGGCTTCATCATGAAAGTGCATTTGTGGGAGGTAGCTTTGCCTCACTTGCTCTGACTTACGATAGGTCTGTATAGGAAGTCTTGTTGACATATGATATATTTAGACTAATTGCAGTTCTGCCAAATTGAATTGCAGAAGGATAGACCAATACATTGATCTGGCAACAGCGCAGTAATGGCTGGTTGCTGTTTGTTCTGCATTCATATAAAATGTTCCTCTCTCATGACTGCTTTATTAAAGACAGTTTTCACGGCCGTAAAGACTCTAGTATCACTCTGTATTCATTTATTTTTAAAGGAGGAAGAAAGGTCCACAGAAGGCAGAAGTCTATCTTCAAGGAGCACTGAAAACTTACCTTGCTGAGGGCTGGGCATTGCTTGTCACGCATACAAGAAAGCAGTTAGCAGAATGTCAGAAACACCTTGGGCAAATAGAAAAGTATCCTCTCAGAGATGGAGCCAGAAAATCAAGACTGGATAAAACAATACTACTTATTCTTCTGACGTAGCTCTGATTTTATTTAAGATTAGAGACAGCCAAATATCAGACAGCTCTTTCTTATTTCCTTTGTTGCTTTTCATTTCAGGAGAGTTGGGTTATTTATTTTTTCATTTTTTTACGCCTTGTTCACTTAATACCTTTTGCATGCAGTGCTACTCTTAATGTTAGACTACATCTCTGCTCCAGAGATTCAACATGTATAGTGTGAAGTTTGTCATTAGTTCAATATGTGCCATTGTAGGGTTCCTTTATGATTCTATTTGTACTTAATCATTGTGGTAGTTCTTATGCCATAGTGTTTTTTTCATTTGGTAAATACATCATTAGAAATATTGCCTATATTAAGGAGCTTCATTTCCCAGTTTTCTTTACAAAACTGATAGCACCTTTTTCCTGTATCTGACTGACAGCGATTTTTTTTCCTTTGATATTTGCAGTATGTTCACCCTGTGAACGTAATTGTGTTGCTGTGGTGCTGCCACTTCCAGGGTACCAGGTGTGTGTAAGAAAAACAGTCTATTGACTGGCTTTGGTGGTTGTGCTTTTTTTAATTCATTTTGGCATTGGAGACACTTCAGTTTGAATTCTGCTTTTTATTTTAGCCTCATGTGGTGTTGCCTAAATTTAGTAGCTAGCTTAAGTAACATAATTCTAATATACACTGCTGTGCTTTGTGTATGTTACAGGAAAAAAAAAAAAAATGGCAAATTTGCATTATTTCATGCTATTTTGAGGGAAGAGTACTGCTTTCGTAGCTTTAAATCAAACTTCTTTGGGTGCCCCAACTGGGGTGTTCAGCTTAACAGATTTACTGATGCAAGACAGCTCTTGTGGAAGTTTCAAGGAAAGACTTGATGGTGTTACCCCTCCTCTTTTTTAATGTTAGCCCAAAAGGTAACATGATGATCTCTGGGTGACAGCACTGGGAAGCTTACTGTAACTGGTTGTGGATTTCCCTTTCCTTATTTTTTTTTTTCTTCCCCCCCCTCCACACACACACTTTTTATAACTAAACAGCTGTTATAATGTATCTGTTGAAAATTCTTAGATTGCTTTTAAGCGCTGCTATTTTTTTCTGCTTCATTGTGTACATTCTTTAAAAAAAAACAACAGCACAACAGTAATGTTGCTACCTTCACTAAATACTTAGATGAGCACGTGTATCCTCAGCAATCAAAATATAAAGAATGCCTTATAATTTAATTATGGTAAATGGTGCTCTAACAACTGGCATAGTATCAGCAGAGTAAATCAGAAAGTAATCAAATACTCAAGTTATTTAATTCTAAATGTGCAGTGTAATGCAATGTATTGGGACATTAACTTGCATACTGCATTTATCTTTTGTCAAATAATGAATTTTCTATGCTCACTGATATTTTTAGATGAGAGTTGGAGGGAAGACTGCCCAAGTTAATAATAGATAATATTTTAGTTAGTCTGAGAATGTGGTGATGTTGAAAGTAGATCTTATATTAAAAGATTGGAAAGGCAATACTGAAGCTGTGGTAATTTTGTTCAAGTTTTGAAATGTTGCTACCTCATGTTTCCTTAACTTCATTAGTTATCTTCAAATAAGCAGTCTTTTAGCTGGTGATAATCACCTAACAGAAGATGAGCGTAAAAGCTTTTGCCAAGAAATACTAGATTTTGCCAATCAGCAAACAGAGAATCAAGGTAAGCCTGGTTTTTAAATGCATAAAGCGTTAGCTGCTGTAATCTTTCTCTGAAGTAGACAGGGAAGTTTTTTTTCTATTTGTTTTCATTACCTGGTATATGACTTCTGAATTAACGTGGCTCCTCTTCTATTCAGAACATTTATGACGCTTCTGAAATAGCCAACTAATCAGTGATGAATTAACATTTTCATTCCGAATACCAGGAGGTTTCTGTTTTACCTTGTCTATCTGTTTCTGCTTTTGTAGCTCGTAATTTCTCTTGTATTGCTTGGTGGTTTTTTTTTCTAGTTCCTAACTTAATTTTGCCTCTGTGTTGCTGACATGCACATGGCAGCTCTCTGATGGATTGTGCTTTTCCTAATGTTAGACTTGTTCCCATCCATTTCCACCTCATTATTTTGATTATCTTACCTTTCGTCTTAATTCATTCCTCTGCTTCATTGATGTCTTGTCCTCAAAAAGTAGTTATTTTTATGTAAAAGTTTTTTTGTTTTTGTTTTGTTTTTTAATGAGTGGATGTACCATATGCAATTTTAGACTTAAGTTTTTGGGTTTTTTTGTTTGCTTGCCTTTGAATCCAGAAAAAGAGAAAATCCCTTAACTGGTAAAGTTGTTGGCATCAAGCTTATATTTGCTGTTAGTTAACATGCTGTGAGAATTTTATCACCTTATTTTACCGTGCTCATCTGTGATGATTTATATAATATTGAAATGTTAAACTTTCGATTATCTGCCACCTTTCCACTTGGTTGTCTTTATAGCCTAAGCAGTACTAACACTGTAGTAGGTGTATTCTTAGAAAATAAATTGCAGCATCTTAACTGTAATTTCTGTGCAAGATAAAGCTAAAATACAAAAGTACTGTTTTGTTTTAAAAGGATTGATTGTGAGAAGTTGTTGATCTGTTTAATTCTGGGGATTAAGTTTTTGAGGGGAAAACAAAAGCTTGCTGATTTTTTGTTTTGTTTTGTTTTTACCTTTACAGGTCAAAAAATTATATTGCCTATGCACTCCTTTGCACAGTTGAAAACTCTACATTTTGACCCTCCAAATGCTGTTGTCCATGTAGGTGGGAAGTTGTCTATTGAGTTGACTTTGATAAGCCAAATGCCCATTCCTATCCAAGTGGACCAGATCGCTATTCATGTTCACTTCAGCATTGAAAAGAATAATTACAGAAAAACAGCAGAGTGGCTCACTAAGCACAAAATCTCCAATGGTGTTATCAGCTTCCCAAATGAGGTTGTAGGATTTCCTTGGTCAAGAAACAACTTGCCTGCACTGGAGCTGTACGAAATGTATGAACGGAGTCCCTCAGATAACTCTTTGAACACAGCAGGAATTATCTGCAAAAATGTGCACATGCTACTACGAAGGCAAGAGAGCAGCAGTTCTCTGGATAAGCCCTCAGGGCTAACTCTAGAAGATGGGGCTCACATGTTAAAATGTCGCAACTTGATACTGGAACCAGGGGTCAATAAAATAACATTCAGTACTCAGGTATGTTTTTACAGTTGAGTGAACTAATATGTGGGAAAGAGCTAAAAGCAATGGCTGAGGAAGAACATAGTTCTGGCAAGTGATATTTGAATTGCTTCCTGTTACAGTATGGGTTACACTGTTCACATTGTGGAATTTCTTCTTATTGTTCTAGACCATAATTTCCCTTCAAAGAGGGAAATGTTGTGTTTGTTTGGTTACTCTTTTTAATTACCCTCATTATTAATCACGCAGTGAATGAGAAGGGAAATACCATAAAGAACATAAGGAGTCTCTGCTAAAGGAAGCTGAATGTACATGAGTAAACACATGTGGAAGTAGGAGGTCAGCAGCTAAATGCCACCCTCAGGAAATGGCTGAAGTCCTGCTTCTGCCATATAGTACTGTATATAAAACTCCTCCGAGTCCTTATTTATATATGCATTGTAAGTCAGATTCCTACTTGGAGCTATCAGTTTTTTCCCTGCTTTGTTTCCTCCAGCAAATTAGGAATTCCTAGTAATTGCTGAGATACTTAAGGATAGTAGTCTTCATCGCTTATGCTTGCATTATGTCACTACTAGTACTAGATGGTGTAGTAGCTAGAAATCATAGAATCACAGAATCATAGAATTGCTCAGGTTGGAAAAGATCTTGAAGATCGAGTTCAACCCCAACCTAACCATACTACCCTAACTCTAACAAACCTCTGCCAAATCATGTCCCTGAGCACCACATCCAAATGGTTTTTAAACACATCCAGGGATGGTGACTCAACCACCTCCCTGGGGATCCTATTCCAGTGCTTAACAACCCTTTCTGTAAAGAAGCGTTTCCTGATATCTAACCTTAACCTCCTCTGGCACAGCTTGAGGCTGTTTCCTCTCATCACCAGTGAGGAGAGACCAATCCCGCTCTGGCTGTAAGCACCTTTCAGATATTTGAAGAGAGCGGTAAGGCCTCCCTTCAGCCTCCTTTTCCCCAGACTAAAAAGCCTCATTTCCTTCAGTCTCTCCTCGTAGGGCATATTCCCCCAGCCTTTACATTTTAGGCAGAGGTTTGGTAGAGTAGTATAGTTAAGTCGGGGTTGAACTCGATCTTCAAGGTATTTTACCAAGCCTTGTTGCCCTTCTTTGGACCTGGATCTTGGATATCAGTCCTAGGTGTTTTTGGTAGTGTGGTGGTTTCTTGGTTTTTAAGTGCTTAATTCATTTTGTGACCTTTTACTTTTCTGTCTTGTGGTTAGTTTGTTAGTTATAATTGTTAATGAACTGGTGAAAGACATTTCCCTCCCAGCTTAATTCTAGTAAATAAAATGGCAAGCCTTTTCAAAAGTGATACTTCACCATCTGTTTGGAGTTTCTGAAGTAGGTGGTTCTGGCCTCAGAGTATCATTCTGTTCTTTGGATTGTACTGTCTCCCTCCTCACTTCTGCAGCCCTTCATAGGAAAATGTTTAGTAAAGTTCAGTGCTACAGTAATGAACAACAGTGCAGTGAAAATTTGAGTGAGAAGACACTGATGTCTGAGTCACAGATGTCTTGATGGTGCAGCTTTTCTGCATAACTTTTAATACTACTTAGATTTAATTCTACCCAGCATTAATATGTTTTATGAATTCCTCTTGGTAAAGTGGCACACGGAAAAAGAATACCTCTTACATCTGTAGTAGTAGTGGCTAAGTGTAAGTAGAATCAAGAATAAATACAGATGATAGTGCATTGGATTTGCTTTTTGTAATGTTATTGCAAAATATCTAGAATCTCATTATACAGGTCAAGGGAAGAGTTTGAGTGTGTTTGAACTGAATAGCTTGAGCTGAGGGCTGTGCCTGATATGAACATTGTAGGGTTTTATGAATGTTAGCTAAATAAGTAGTTTGCTTATAATAAATAATAATAAAGTTACATTTTAATTATGTGCACTTGAGGAGGGAGGAAGGAGGGGGGACAATTTATTTGGGGATTTTTTTTGTCTTGAGAGAGTAGCTGCTATATTAGTTATTCTGATTGGTGGTATGTGTTATATTCTTTCTTGGCATAGCATGCACTGTGGAGCTTATTATCTTAACATGAGAAAAGATGCACCTTTTGTGAAAATCTTGTCACTTATTGAATAACTCTTTTGATTTGTTTTTGTTTTGTTTTGATTTACAAATACAAAAGGTCTGAGCTGAGAAAATACTTGTCCTTAACAGAAGGTTTGTTTTAGAAATAATTCCTAAATTGAAAATGCCATTCCAATGTTTTCTTCAAAGGCCAAGGAACCTGGTACGTACACCCTCAGGCAACTGTGCACTTCAGTGGGAAAAATACAGTTTGTCCTTCTTCATATTTATCCAATAGTGCAGTATGATGTCTATTCTCAGGAGCCCCAGCTAAAAGTGGAACCGACGACTGGTAGGTGCAACTGCCGCACTGAATTTGATGAATTATGTTATACTCTCCTTGGAACTAGATTGTGTTTTCTGCCTTGGATTTTTATTTGGGATGTTGTCTTTTCTTTTCTAGTTTTGAGCTAGATTTTTTTTCAAATTATTGATCCAATATGGTGTCAATTACGGCTTGTTTCTCACTAACTAATTGCAGAGCTTAGCTCAAATTGGAATGTGCAGTATCACTTAAATATTAGGTGTGATTTGAGTTCCCATGTGCATTAGGAAAACTCAGTGGTTAAATTGTTAATTGACTGATCAGTTAGTTCAGTCATGCCACAGTCTCTTTCATATTTAAGAAATGCATACTACAAACTGAGCTTGTCTGTTGAAGGCAATAATATTAAGTTACTAAAATTCTTAATGCATGCATTGATTTCGTGCATGGCTGAGAATTACTTGTTGTAGGATTTATGGTATTTAATATGCTGAAGTTCATAGTGATTTTGTTTTCAGGTTGGGGCAGATGAGTTAATAAGCATTTGTGCTATCATCCCAGTTAGAGGGATTGCTAATGTAAAGGAAGACGGGCATACTGAGGATAGGGGAATTTATCATATTAGCTAACTGAGGAAATTGATGGATGTGATTCAGGTGTTTGAGAGTCTGTGTGCATACTTGCTTTCTTCTTGTCTTGTTTATGTAAATACACCATGTGGGTATGACTGGCACCACAGGTGCAGAAATATAAAGCAGTTTACAACATGGAGAATTCAGTAAAAAGCTTAGTAAATTCATCAGGCTTTTATCTTTCACCGAATTCTGCGCTGCCAGAGCTGCACATTATATAAGTCAGCTAATCTAGACCTAGGTCAGATACATCAGGTTATTTGAACTTGAGTGATCAAACCCATGGTAAAGGATTTAATACCAAAAGCCCAAACTTTTAAGTTGCCCTAAAATTTGTAACAAAGTGCTTGGAGGAATTGGTAGCAAACTTTAGCAGTGCACTGTAGCCACATACTAATAAGTACTGGAATCAGTTGACAATTTCTGCTTTCTTCTTCAGATAGCCTTTTGGCTGGCATTCCACAGAAGGTGAAATTCACAGTGACTACAGGTCATTACAGCATGAAGAGTGGAGATACTTTGCAGCTCAGTAATGCTGATGCCATGCCTATTCTGTACAATCCAGAGAGCAAGGCAGTGATCTATTCCAATACCAGAGGTAAGCAATCAAAATAATCTTTAGACAGCTGAAAATTCAGTAATCCTGAAGTAAAATTTGTTAAGACAATTACACTTTTTCAGTAGTTGTTACTGAGAACAATTCTAAGGAACTGTAACTGAGTACTTCAGTGTAGAAGGGTCTTAAACTTCCACCTTCAGAGTAGTACTATGTACTTTTCAGTAAATATAACTGGGTGGCTTTTACATGTATGGATGAAATACCGTAGATACGGAGAAACAGCTGCTGCCTTCATGATTTCCAAACGTATGGTGGTGAGTTTTTATTACTATGCAGAGTGTATCATAACTAGGCAATACAGTTTTGTTGTCAAGTAGTCTGAGTGCATTTTTACTTAGTGCTCTTTAGCCAGTGTTGCATTTAAATACATGAAGTCAAAGGGTTTATTTTCCTTTCCTGAGTATGGGTGCTTTAGTGTATCTTCAGCTGCTTGAATACACTCTCAAGTTTTACATAAATGAGAACAGTCTTAATGGACATAATATAACTGAGATTGAAATAAACTATACAGGTATGTACTCTACGATTAAAGTTCTGTAAGGAATCACAGAATATCTGGAGCTGTGAGTGGGCCCACAAGAATCATCGGTGCTAACTGTCCTGGCTCCGTACAGGGCCACCCAAAATCCAAACCCTGTGTCAGAGAGCAGTATCCTGATGCTTCCTGAACTCCAGCACTGGTGGCTGTGCCCACCGCCCTGTGGTGCATCCCGTTCCACGCCCAGCGCCCTGTGGTGCAGCCCCTTTCCCTGACCCCCAGCTGCCCTCCCCTGACGCAGCTCCAGGCCGTTCCCTTGGGCCCTGTTGCTGTCACACAGAGCAGAGCTCAGCGCTGCCCCTCCGCTCCCATCAGCTGCCATCAGGCCTCCCCTCAGCTCCTCTGCTCTGCTGAGCACGGCGAGGGACCTCAGCTGCTCTTCCTACATCTTCTCTTCTAGATCCCTCCCCATCTTTGTTACTTTTCTTCAGACCCTCTAACAGCTTTATGTCCTTACATCGCAGCACCCAAACCCGCACCCAGTGCTGGAGGTGAGGCCACATCGCATAGAGCAGAGAGGACAGCCCCTCCCCTCATCCGGCAGCAGTGCTGGGCCTGGTGCCTCCCTGGGTACAGCTGGCCCTTTGTGCTGCCATGGCACGCTGCTGGCTCAGGTTCAACTCGCTGTCAACTAGAACACCCTTTCTGCAGGGCTGCTATCCAGCCTCTGAACAAGAAAATTTATTTCTGCATTTTCAGTAAACTGAAAAACTGTTAAGTTTCTTTGAAATAAAAATAAGTTATGAGAATAAGGAGGTGAAGGATATAGTGAGAAATTCAGTGTGCGAATTTAACTCTTCAGCTAATTTGAAGTCTTTTACCAAGTTGTCCTCTTGGTTTTTCCTTGAATGATGGAAGAAACTGCTGCAATAAATGTGGTTATTTCCTACAGTTGGAGAAGGATGGAGCATCAGTATTGAGAAGTTGTATACAGCAGTGGTATTTAAGATGTGTGGACTGTAGTTAATATCAGAAGGTTACTAGGGAGGTACGGGACATAGTTTCTCTTATTTGTTTCTGAAAATATGAAGGTCTTGCTAGGTTATGTTACCATATGTTTTCTATGACAGGTCTATAGCCTCATTTCTGTACTTAATTACAGAAATAAGCTATGAGGGATAAGTGTTTTCAAATAACTTCCCTTTTCTGCAAAAAACACAGAAAAGATCTCAGAATCATCACTAAGAATTCAGTCTTCTGAAAAGATTACAAGCATCAATTTGCCAGTGGCTCCTGCGTATCATGTGATTGAATTTGAACTAGAAGTCATGTATTTACCATCAGCCACAGAATCTGCAGAGGAGGGAGAAAATACTACAGATAAAGAAGTTCAGAGAAAAAACAAAGAAAAACAAAAACTGGACAACTGTATGGCTACTGTTGATCAAAAAGTAAGATGACATTTAATATTTTTATTATGAAATCTGTTTGGTCATGGGAACATGGACTTCACAAAATATTAAGTGAGGGTAATGGTGGGAAAAACTGCTTAGCGTTAGCGTTGAGCTAACTTTCCCTTAAAGATGTAAATACAAAAATCTCAATATGCAGTATCAATCTAGAGAATACATAAGCAGAAATCTACACTGTCTTCTATGTTGTCACATGTTCCTCTTGCTCATACTTGAATATTCATGTTCTGATGCTCAGCTTCTGTCTTTGTGAAGGTAGCATGGTGGTCTTTAAATCCACCTTTTTGATTAATGGGAAAAGTATTTCTTCTACTTGCAAAGTGTGTATCCTTCTATGTGAATATTATGGTTAAAAGGAATAGGTATAGATTAGCACTGCTAAAATGGGATGTGATAAATTATTTTAATTTATTTATATCAATTCGTCTTCTCTCCCCACACATACCAAAAAATAATGTTAAATGTATGTGCAAGAGAAATGTAATAGTTAAGTGTGCTGCTTAAGGTTAAAATAGACAATATATTTTAAGCTTGTATTTAAGAAAATATTACGAAGGTATTTCAATAACAGTTTTTACAGCAATGTATTTAATATTGACCTTTTATCAGGTTATGATGTTAAGATGCTGTTGATAGTGACACTATCTTTCTTTTTTTCTTTTCTTCTGTCCACCTTCCTTTATTTCTGGTGTTCAGAAGTGAGTGTAGGAGTTTCCGTGGGAAAAGCTTCTTCAGTATTTCATACCTCACTCAGAAAAAAGCAAAAGGCTGATATTTTTCAGATTAACTCTGACATACTATTTTGTTTTCTTTTTTATCTGGATTCATTAGACATAGACACTGAGCAAAGGTTTGTTTGGAAATTACAAGAAAAGTAAATCAAATCAAAGCCTGTTGTGAGCAACAACTTTGGTCTCTTTCTCTTTTAGGTAACCATTGATTGTCCTTGGTCGATTTATTCCACTATTATTGCATTAACATTCTGCATACCTTTTAATGCCAAGCATTCCTTATTGTCAGCTGGCAAACGGTAAAGAAATTAAGCATTTTTTATTTCTTTCTTCTAGGAAAATAGGGATCTGGAGTTTCATAAGTATTGTTTATAGCTGACTTTTTTTATTATTATTGTGTTTTGAATTGGATTTCTGCTGTCCTACAGTTTCCTGCTGAAGGTTTGCATGTTTCCTGTAGTGTACTTTCTTAACAATAAAATAAGCATGTTTTCAACCTTTCTGGAAACACAATCACCAGGTCATAGAATAATAGAATGGCCTGGGTTGAAAAGGACCAGTAATGATCATTGAGTTTCAAGCCCCCTGCTATGTGCAGGGTTGCCAACCACCAGACCAGGCTGCCCAGAGCCACATCCAGCCTGGCCTTGAATGCCTCCAGAACTGGGGCATCCACAGCCTCCTTGGGCAACCTGTTCCAGTGTGTCACCACCCTGTGTGTGAAGAAATTCCTCCTAATATCTAACCTAAATCTCCCCTGTCTCAGTTTAAAACCATTCCCCCTTGTCCTATCACTATCCATCCACATAAACAGTCGTACCCCCTCCCATTTATATGTTCCCTTCAAGTATTGGAAGGCCACAATGAGGTCTCCCAAGAGCCTTCTCTTTTCCAAGCTAAACAAACCCATGTAAAATATATAAAATAAACCAAACTGATCTATTTCTATATAGTTATTTCTTTCTGTTTTGCATGAAAGAGTGTGTTTTACATCTCTGTTTCTACAGATTATTAAATATTGAGAAAAGATTGAAAGAAATACACCTGCTTTTATATTTTTTGCACGAGCTGTTCACTTTACAGCAAATTTATGGACTTTGTATTCTGTAAATGTAAAAATGGCAATTTGCTAGAAAATTCAACAAACTTCATGTTTTTCAGGAAGTATGTGCAAGTCTGCATACAGAATTTGTCAGAACTCTGCTTTCAGCTTTCAGACAATAACCTAAAAAATACTGCTGACTGTACAGATTTGCAGCTGGTACCTCTGAACTCTGAATCTCATCAGGTAAAAAGACTGTCCTGATGTTTTGTGAGCCTGTTGACAGGAAAGTTAGATGGAACTTCCTGCTAGTAATACCATTAGCACTTCTGTACGTAACTTTTGTAGGAAGGCTGATAATTGGTGTTGTTACATCTTTGTGATCTTCTGAGTAACTTTCATTCTTAAAGATGCTTTAGAAGGCACTGCTGATGTAGGATAAAATTCTAAAAGATGTGGAGATGATTAGCTTGTCCATTCGCTGCTAACCTTGTTTTTTTAAGCTATATTGATACCAGAATGTATGAATATATGTAGCAGGATGTGTATTTCCATTTCTCCATCAGAGGAAGGAAAACTAATGCTATAAACAATTTCTCTTTCAGGTCATATATAGTAAGCAATCAATATTCTTTGTGTGGGAATTGAAGTGGACAAAAGAGCTTCCTCTCTCCTTGCAGTGCCTGTTTTCAGTCAGCTTTTGTCCAGCTACCTCTGAAAAACAGTCTCTTACCTTGAAGCCGTTCACTTATGAGTTCCAAGTGGAAAATTTTTTTGTAAGTATTCTCAAGTACAGTATGTGTTAACTGAATATGATTTCTTAATTTACACCACCCAAAGGGGAAGTCAAGAAAAATATTTTAGAAAATTCTCTTTGAATAATGAAATTGAAGATCATTGGAAAGCTGTGCATTCTATGTTGAATTGTAGAACTGAAAAAGAGGTAAATTATATGCTTACCCCTGGTATAGGATAGGAGGAGACGAACACTTGTGTGAGTTTCCTTGAACTCGATTTTTGTTTCCTGTTTTGGTTTTGCTCTGTTTTTCTGCCTCTTTGGGGTGGTGACGTGGAGAATGTCTGTAGATTACTTACTGAGCTGCTTTTTTCCTGGAGACTTCAGGCAGCCCTCTCCAAAACAAACTGCCATTTCCAAAGATCTTTGCTATTGTAAGCATTTGAGTTGTTTTTGTAGTGCTTTTGTATTGATGAGCTCCTCTAATGAAATATTTAGGATTTGCTAGGCCATTATCTTAAGTGTTTCTTCTTTCCCTCTTATGGACAAACTTCTTTGATCTGCTAGGAAGCTTAGGCTAGGTATGACTTCCCGTTAAAAGAGCTTTATCAACATTACAAAAACTCATCTCTAAATTCAGTCATGTTGGCCTTTTTGATGCTTGGATAAAAGTAGCAGCATGAGAAATATTTCATTGGGTTAAATCCTTTTGCCCATTTTCAGTGTTGCTGTGTTTTTTGCCTGCTCATTACAAAACGGCGCTGAACAACAAGGTATCTTTTTGCCTACTGGCATGTAACTAGTATTTTTGGCACTTTTATCAGCATCCTTATGGATATACTTTTTTAAAGGGAGCTAAATGTTTCCAGCACTGATATTTTAATCCTTTTTCTTTGGGGGGAGTAGAAAGTTTAATTTTGTAGTAATTAAATTTCTTCTTTGATAATATGAACACCTTTATTCAGGGGACCATGATGGTATGAATGATAAGTAAGCTCGGAATTTTTGTGGAATGTCTGGGAAGAGAGGAGTCAGGAAGCTAATAAAAGTTTTTTCAGTTATAGTAAGGTAGATATCCATTTAAAAGTGCTGAAAGGCTGAACAGTTAAAAGCTTGGAAGTGGAGGGAAGAATTGTGTGCTCTCTGCTGGTATCAAAAATAATTTAAATAAAATTTGGTTTAATTTTAGCAATAAAAACTTATGCACCCCACTTTTTTATTTCTTGATAACAGTACTCTTTTTCTTCCTTACAGACATTGTACCATGTGAAAACTGAAATTTTTCCACCACTGGGGACGGAGTACTGTAAAACAGGCTCACTATGCTCCTTAGAGGTGTCCATCACTCGTCTTGTTGACCTCTCAGAGGTTGACAGGGATGAAGCATTGACAGAATCAGATGGGTATTGCACAACAAAACTTATGTATGAAGGTAAGAATATTTTTTCTTACTCATACTGACACAGTTTTCCAATAGTTTAGTCTCAGTAATGTCACCTGTCAGACTTTCTGTGAAATACATTCTTGTATTGTGATTATGACTTCCCAGTGAAGCAGTTTTCATTTCATTAAGGGTGAGAATTGTGATTTAACCCTGGCACACAGCTGTGTACCACAGAGCTGGTCTTTGACTTCTCCTCAGATGGCTCAGGGAGAGAATCAAAAAGATAAAATGAGAAAACTCATGGGTCAAGATAAAGACAGTTGAACAGCTAAAGTAGACCAACTAAAGTAGAAGGTGCGTGTACAAGCAAAGATAGATAAGGAATTGGTTCATTGCTTGCTATCTGCACACAGAAGTTCATCTGCTTCCAGGAAATCAGGTTTTTATCATGTATAATGGTTACTTGGGAATATAAGCGACGTTACTCCAGATGTTCCCCACCTCCCCTTTCCCCTGGCTTTTATTGCTGAGCAAAACACCATGTGGTGTGGAACATCGCTTTGTTCAGTTTGGGCCAGCTGCTCTGGCTGTGTCCCCTCTTAGCTTCTTGTGTGCTCCTGGCCTCTTTGGTGACAGGACAGCATGAGAGGCAGAAAAGCCCTTGGTTCTGTGCAAGCACTGCTCTGCAACACTAAAACATCAGTGTGTTACCAATGCATAGCAAACCCAGAAATATGAGCTATATTAGTTACAGCTCATATAGCTCGTTATATGAGCTGTAACTATGAAGAAAATTAACTCTATCCCAGCAAAATACGGGACAGTGAGAATATTTTATGAGTATTTTCTTTATTCATTAACTTGTCTTCAAGTGTAAGTGCTACTCAGGCTGCTTGAATGATTGTTTGAGGCAATGGTCCCTTTGGTGTAGGGCTGTTTTCTTTGCACAGCTCTTATAGAATCACAGAGTGACTTGGCTTGGAAGGGACTTTAAAGCCATCCAGTTTCACCCCACTAGTGCAACCCGCTACATCAGATTGCCCAGGGCCCCAGCCAACTTCACACAGAAAATCCTGTGAGTTTTTAGATACTGCAAAAATACTGATCTCAAAGTGTTCTATACTGGAGGTTCTTTTTTTCCAAGTAAGATTTTTGTAGTGTCTTCTCTTTGTTCTTGCAGTTGTTGACAACAGCAGTAACTGGGCAGTCTGCGGAAAAAGTTCTGGAGTGATATCTATGCCTGTAGCAGCTCAAGCAACTCACAAAGTCCACATGGAAGTGATGCCACTGTTTGCTGGATATCTACCTTTTCCTGATGTCAGATTATTTAAATACCTCCCTCATCATTCTGCTCACTCCATGCAACTTGATGCTGGTAAAGCTATCTTGAATACATGGCTTCTTAGAGAAATGGTTCTGCTTCTTCCTTCTGTTCTTGAGTAAAGAGAAAAGCAAGGCAAGGAAGTGTACTGACCAAGTACCCTTAGATGTTTTTTTGTACTGATCTTCTTTTACAGTCCTAATTTGAAACATTTAAGGTGCTGCTTTAACAGGAGGTTTGATTTCAGGTTGCAGTCTTAACATGTGAGGGGAAATAATAAACACATTCTTTTTTTACTTCTTTTCTTACTTCCTTTAAAGGTTCTGCTGCAAATTAGTTATCACTTAATTTTTAATCAAGTGAACATTGATTTGATAATGAAACCTCAGGATTAGAAGATTGTCCCTTAACTGCATACTCACATCTCTGTTAGTTTTGAAAACACAGTTTTTGTAATGACCAACTGGAAATAGAAGTACTGAGAACCTGTGGCATATAAACCACGTCAAGGCTTAAACTACTGGAGACCTTGAGGTTTTTATTTGTACTGTTGAGTAGCTCCAGAGCTCTAGTGAGAATTCACTCCTGCAAACAACTTACCATTTGTCAGCAGCACTCCAGGAACTGCCAGTGTGCAATCTTCTAGTTTATGACAAATGTGAGGTAACACTACTCAAATTTTTCACATAAACCAATCTAATTCACACTGCCGAATCTGCTGCTTGCCAAACTTGAGCAGACTGTTACCTCAGCAGGGATGTTCAGTAACTGTTAACATATGGTAAGTTGACTGTGTGTCTGAGTTCTGAAATAATTTTGAGTTACTTGATCACTTCATAGAAATGAAATTGTGGGTTTTTGTTTTGAACAGATAGCTGGATTGAAAATGATAACCTGTCTGTGGACAAGAATGTGGATGATCAAGCTGACAGCAGCAGCATAAGGAGCAGAGGTAGCTTGCATTCTGCAGCTAGTGGGGAACACAAAGGTTTGCCAATGCCCCGTCTGCAATCCTTTTCATCTGGTCAGGTCTTCAACTGCAGCACGGGTATGCAAATACTTGTCATTCCCAGCAAGGACGACCATGTTCTCGAAGTCAATATCACGTGACAACTCGGTATAAGAACAAGGAACAAACAAACAAACAAAAACATTAGAAACTGGATATGAAAGCACTTTAAAGGATTATGACCTGATTAGTCTTTGTTGCAACATTTTAACGCTAAAGAAACCTATGGCACTCAACATTTACTGGCCATGGAAGCACCAGACAATTGTATCAATTTAAATGTACAGTGAAGCTTGTGTCAGCTAGTTTATATTGCCACTTTAATATGTTTTGTGTGAGCTATTGGGTTTTCTCCCTTCAGTCACATCCTGCATCTCAACACAGGGCAACAAAAACAAAATAAATCCAAATATTTGGACCACTTTTTTATTTTTGTCTGGCAGCTGATAGCTTAGTTTAATGCTTCCTACATATTTTAGAGTTAAGGTTTGGGTGACAAAATTATCCAAATCTTGGAATTTTATGTAATTTACAGGCTTTTCCACATGTGCCACAAGTACAGTAAAGCATACAACAACTTGTTCATCAACTTAATAGTTGCTATCCTGATTTTTTTTTTTTCCTCTTTTTTTTCTTTTACATTGTTAATTCCTGTCATTGCAATCTTATATTAAACTTCCATCATTTGCATACTTAAATGCATGGAAGCACTACTGCTATAAACAATCTTAACAAAATTCCTTAATTTTTTTGAGGCTTTCTCCTTCACAGAGTATACACTGTGATGTCACATATTATATGGTTTTATTTTTTTGGGGGTGGGATGGGTGGGACATCCTCTTGCATAGTTCTTACCAAAGAAAGATACTGATAGAATTTAATAATAAATTATTTGGCTTATTGAGTTCCCAGATTAATTTCTTTTGTTAGCATTTCTAAGTGGCTTGGTTTTCTGCTCCAATTTTGAAATTGGGGCAAAAATTTCAGTATGAGATAATACTTGAACAGTCAACCTTTCATCACAGAGGCTTAGTGTAATTATTACTGATTAGAGGCCAGACTTCCGCATTCACGGGGGAAGAAAGAGGTTGGTTTGATATAGGAAAGCTTGCAGATGTAGAATAATTGTGAAGCAAAGTTAAAACATGTAACTTAAAGAATTTCATTATTTATATCTTGAAATGTAAATACAAAAAAGTGTTTAAAAGAGAAAGTGTAATTTTTGTGAATGTTGCAAATTCACCTGTGACTGGAAAAATTACAACTCCTGATGTCCTGCTTCTGGTATTGAAACTTGTGCATTTAATGTGAGAATGACCTTTTCTACTTGCAGTTCTATAATGGTGCATTGTGAACAGACTCCACAGAGGAAAACCATCCTATATCAGATAGTTGTCAGTAAAGCTAAACATATTAGGAAAAAAAAAAAAAAAAAAAAAAAAGGAACAGCTCATTAGGCAAATTTTTTTGTTATTTTCCTTTTTCTAAACTCAGGTTCTGCTAAATTACAAAGGGGAAGGAAAAAAATCCCACTTTCCAAACTGAATTGTAGTTAAAGACTGAAATAATACCTTGCATTGTTTTTGTTTTTGTTTTGTTTTTTTTTTTTTTATTTTTAAAGCAATGTCTAAATAGATGTAAAAAGTAGACCTGCTAGCTGAAAACGTTACTGTTACGCATCTTCTTTCTGTGAAGGAATGCCCTTTCTCTGTGGAAATCATACCATTTTGTTCTGGATAAAACCCAAAGCATCATTTAGTGTGAGTGAATGGCTGCTGGGATTCTTTGACTGGAAAAGGTAACGAGTTTGTGACTTTGACACTGCAGGTATTCTAATTGATTCCATTTTCATGGTTTGCTATTGAATCATTTTTCACATCGTTCTGTAATATACCGTTAGATTAAACACATTGTACTAAGATTGTTTAATGAAATTGTAAGCGTTACAGTTCTAAATATACATGTTTTAAAAAGAAATCCAAGTTCTCTACTGCTGTGACTTTTTATTTTAAGAAGAGATTACTTCCATCTCTAGCCCAAGCTGCTTTCCTTTAGAAAGGCAGCCCGTTGATTAGGTGAAGGTAACGTGTGAGGCTCTAGGAGGGGCAGCGGCTTCGTGTCCTGCTGCAGGTCCCCTGTGACAGGCCGGGCTCCCGAACCGCACGGTTATCATGGATCCCCTGAGCCCGGCTGGGATTCGGTCCGGTGCGCTCTAAGGCGCTCTTGGCGCGAACCCCGATACAAGCAGCGCAGCTGAAGCCGTATATACGAAGGCGTAGGGGCGGGGCGGGGCGGAGCGGAGGTCCCTCTGTCAGTCACCGGTTCCCGCCCTCAGCGCGGAGCTGTCCCCTCCCTTGCGCATGCGCGGTGCTCCCTCGCTGCGTAGCTGGGCGCGCCGGCGGCGTACGGTCCACGCGCTCTGCATGCCGCCATGAAGTTCGCCTACCGGGTGAGTGGAGTGAGTGCCACTCGGCGGCCTCTGCATCTCCCCTTCCCCTCTAACCGTCCCCCTCCTCTCCTCGCAGTTTTCCGGCCTACTGGGTACCGTTTACCGCCGCGGGAACCTCAACTTCACCCGCGATGGCAGCTGTCTCATTAGCCCCGTCGGGAATAGGATCTCTCTCTTCGATCTGAAGAAGTGAGCGAGACCTGGCGGCCGCCCCTCTTCTCCTCACCTCTTTCTCCCCGGGGACAACGTGCGGGGTTGAGGCCCGGCCCTCCGGTGCAGCGTATGCATGAAACAGGCGTGAGCCTGCGTGCGCTTGCAGCCCGGAAGGCCAACGGCGGCCTGGGCTGCATCCCAAGAGAGGTGGCCTGCAGGGAAAGGGAGGGGATTGTCCCGCTCTGCTCTGCTTCTGCGAGGCCCCACTTGGAGTACTGCGTCGAGATCTGGGGTACTAAGCACAAGAAGAGGAGAACTGTTGGAGGGGGTCCAGAGGAGGGCACAAAGATGCTCAGAGAGCTGGAGCACTTTTCCTGTGGAGTCTGGCTGATGGAGCTGGGCTTGAGCTGCCTGGAGGAGAGAGGGTTCTAGGGAGGCTTCATTGCAGTGTTCCAGTACTTGGAGGGAACTTACAAGCAGGAGGAAATCAACATAATACACAAATTGATAGCGATGGAATGAGGGGGAATGATTTTAAATCAAAAGAGAGGATGTTTATGTTAGACATTAGGAAGAAATTTATTCTTCAGGTGGCACTGAGGCATTGGCCCGAGCTGCCCAGAGAAGCTGTGGTGCCCCATGCCTGGAAGTGCTCAAGGCCAGGTTGAATGGGGCCCTGGGCAGCTGAGCTGATGGGGGACAGCCCTGCCCATGGCAGGGATTGGGATAATCTTTTTGGGAGATAATCTTTAAGGTCCCTTCCTATCCAAACCGTTCCATAATTCTAGGCATCAGGCCATATTTCACTGATGCTAGAGATAGCAGTCATTTCTGTGTTCTTGTACTCAATTTACTGTTTTGTCATCTCCTTGCAGTAATAAATGCGAAACATTCCCACTGGCCACACGGCACAACGTTGTGTGTGTGGGGCTCTCTCCAGATGGAAGCCTTGCCATCCTTGTTGATGAAGGTACTTGCACAAATAACCTATTTGCTTTATAAAGGAATGAAATATAAGTACTGCATGAAAGTAGGTGTTCAACCTTAGATCAGAAGTGCTCTACTTTAACAATTAATTTAGATTTTCTGGGGAAGGTTTTTTAAAAAAACAACTGGTAACTTTGATTGCTTTTTTTGACTTACATCGTTAAGCATGCTATCTTAAGAAGTTTCTAAGGAGGTACTTCATGATTATTGTTGTTATTTTCACAGGGAAAAGCTAAGCTTGCTAGGATTATGTTTTCTTTGAGCACTAAATAATCTCCTTGTTCTCCCTCACAGAGGGAGCTGCCTTGCTCGTCAGTTTGATTGGTAAATCTGTGATACATCAGTTTCATTTCCACAAGCCAGTGCACAGTGTCTCCTTTTCCCCTGATGGCAAGTAAGTGAAATGTGTGTACTTTAGAGCAAAAGAACAGAAATTGCCTCATAAGCTGGTTGTAATTATTAAAAACATTCTGACCAACCAGGGAATTTTATTTGCTAATTTTGGGCATGACCAGGGCTACTTCATCAGTAAAATTGAGAGGAGAAAAAAGAAAGGAAAAGTAAAGCTTGGCAACAGTCTGGGAAGGTGGCTGTAGTTTAAACAACTGTGTTACCTAAAAGGAACAGTTCTCTGAATTGAGCGGTTCTTTCCTTGTCCCTTAAACTTTAAGTCCATGGTCACTGAGCCAAAGTGTAGTGACGTGAGATTGTGGGAAGCATCAAAGAGTAAGAGGAAAAGGTGGAGACTTCCATTTTGGCAGTATTTCTCAGCTAAATTGACTTGAGATGATGGTAAATGAATTTCTTGCTTGGAAGTTGGAATTGCAGTTCTGTGTTAGGGAATTACACCGGCTGTGGGGCAACTATAAAGGATGTGTGTAACAGAAATGCACATGCTTTGTGCAAGTTGCTAATATATGGAGAAGAAGAGCGATTGAAATAGAATATCTGATTTTGAATGTTTGTAATTTACCTTCCTTTATAAGAATTAGTGAATAAATGTTTCGTTATTCAACTTAATTGATTTTTCCAAATGTTTTCTGTTACTTAGTACCTGCATTCTTGAAGTTGAGGAATAGTAGCCATCTGCAAATGAGTTTTTGGCTTTAATTTTGGAGTATTTTGTGTTTATCGCTTCTGTAACACAGAAACCTTTTTAATGTTATGTTGTTCTGTTTTCTTGCAGTCAGTAGTGAAAAATAGCTTACTTTTAATAGTTTTGCCTGCAATTCTGCTTTTTTTCCTTTATGGCAGGAGGTTTGTGATTACAAAGGACAATGTTGCTCTTCTGTACCACGCTCCTGGGAAGAGACGAGAATTCAACGCATTTGTTCTGGACAAAACTTACTATGGTCCATATGATGAAACAACTTGTATTGACTGGACTGATGATTCCAAGTGAGTTAAACTGAAATGCTGTGTACTTGCTCACTTTGTTAATGTTATTTGCATGTATGCATATATTTTCTTTGCTGTAAAGTGATTCTAGCTTTAAAATTTGGATTATACTGTAATGAAATACTGTATTATATATCTCACGTACAATATACATAGTGTATATAGTATGTAAATATTGTAGCTAGGCAGACTAGAAGGTGTGAAATAGGCATGTGTTAGGGACCAGTGGTGCATTCTTGCTTGAAAATGTCCAGTCATTCATAAAAGACACATGTTTCAAGTGTAAACATGGTTGACCCTTTGAGTGTATTTAATCCTATGTATCATTGCAAGAGTACTCATTTCAGTTTACAAACCTCACATGTAAAGTTAATGTTTAAGTGCTGACTTGTCTTCCTGTGCAGAATGTTCTGCAGCCAGTGATGGTCTTAAAAACCAGTGTTCTAACTCAAATTGCCTTTTTCTTTTTTTTAAGGTGTTTTGCAATTGGAAGCAAGGATATGTCTACATGGGTGTTTGGAGCAGAGCGATGGGCAAACTTGATATATTACTCACTTGGTGGGCATAAGGATATAATAGTAGCCTGCTTTTTTGAAGAGGACAGTCTTGATGTATGTATATAATGATACTATATTCCTGAATTTTAGTGCTAAAGTAGCTGAACTACAGTCTTATCTTTAGGAAAAGATCTGGCTATACTGTTTTCACAGAGTCACAGAATGGACCAGGTCGGAAGGGACCTCCAGGATCATCAAGTTCCAACCCCCCTGCCACATGCAGGGCCACCAACCTCCCCATTTAATACCAGACCAGGCTGCCCAGGG